AAAGCTCTCTCACAGTCGTCATGATTTAGTACCTGAGGGATATCGGCGAGAAAATATCAATTACTGGTCAAACCATCACGCTGAGGTGGGGTAATTGGTTCCTGCAGTGAGGGAAAAGTGCTTGGTCTACATCCCTCATATGTCATTTCCTACTATCCTGTCCTTGTTTCCAGGCCTTCATCTAACGTCTCTCCTCACTATAACATAATGTCTAAAACAACCCCATCCAAACAAGGTCTGATCTGTGTTTGGTTGTTGATGGAAAATAAAAAAAGTCATCCTAATTAGATGATAGACTGTTTGATTAGGACTGGCAATGAGGTGGAACTGCTGCTGAATATCAGGACAAATAAGATCCAATCAGGAAGTTTTCAAACTCAACTGGGGTCAGCAGCTGTACTTTTTAAAACACTCTGGCTGAACTCAGAGGGTATGTACATTATGTGTTTAAAGCGGCTGTATACGACATGGATGTAGTCTCAGAGTACACAGAAAGTACCAATCTTCAGTCTGAAGAAATGAAGCCGATGCAGAAGAGCCCAGATCATGTAAAGGCCAAGAATAGTAGTCTTGCTAAATAACATTCAGCTGATCTTGAACCTTAGAAAAAGGGCCTTAGCTTAACAAACAGCTACAATGTGCTCATCTGTCAGTCAAATTAGCCACACCCCTATTTGTTTGCACTCACGCACTACTGTGGTGGCCGAGAATCGCCACTGCTGCAAATAATAAAAGAATGCAAAAAAAAAAGAAGCCACAACAGAAATTATTGACGCAAAAACAACAACAACAACAAAATACAAAACCGAAGCCCACTGCTAATAAAAAAAAAAGAAACAATGCAGATAAAAAATAAAAGCCACAGTGGAAGTTAACGACGCAAAAAAAAAAGTGGCGATGCACACAAAAAAAAAAGCTCACTTCCATTGTGGCTTCTATTATTTGTATCCTTTTATTCTCGCGGTAAATAATATTTTTCTTTTTTTTTTTTTCTTTTTTTTTTTGCAGCAGTGGCAGTTCTCGGCCACCATACACTACCCCTAGTCTTAACACATGGTAATCAAAATGAATGAGGTTTAAATACAAACGAACTCCCAGATACATGTGCAGAGATTTAAACAATAAGGCCAGGGGTGAAAGTAAAAGCCGGTACGCAGCGGTACGCAGCGGTACAGCTTACCGGGAAAACATAAACAGCACTTTACAGCAGCAGTACACAGCGGTACTCAAACTTTCACCCCTCAAATGTATGTAGGCTTCATCTGCTTACCGAGTTGCCGCACATCGCTCTGCACTCTGCATTGTAACCGTAATAATCCGACAGGAACGTGCTGCTTGCGAGTGGGTCGTATTTACTTCCGCAAACAACCAAAATCCAGAAGTGGGCGCGCTCGGTGCGCACCTTTGATTGGACGCTGGTTGCCTTGGCGCTTGAAAAAGAAGGAACTTTTAAAGAGACAGCTGCTTCAATCTTGATGCAGAAATAAAATGAGATGTAGAGGAAAATTGATTTTATGAGACAGAGAGGTGCAGCAGATGATGATATTGTGGCGTATGAGTCGTCACCTTGTTAAACTTGTGCTCCTCTTGTACAAAGCCTACGGGTGCAGTATCTGCAAGAACCTTATCCCTGTTTCAACCCTGTCTATGGACAACAAAAACTGTTTTTTGTACCAGGCTGTGAGCATTTTTAGCTGTAAATATGAGTCTTTGAACATTGTTGGTTGTGGCGTTCCCTTCTTTTTTTGGAGCCAGCTTCAAGTGGACACTTGAGGAACTCCACTTCATCATTGGCTTAATTTTTCAATACAAGATGTTGCCGCTAGACTTGACAGATAACATGTTAGTAAAAATACACCAAAAAAACAAATTTATAGAAATCTGAATTTTAAGGGTAGACTCACATTTAAAAACAGATGCTGTCTGTGTTCACTCATTGTCATATAAAGGATGATTACACAGAAAAGCTGCTCTGACGTGCCCTTTGGATGCTCTTCTTGTGGATTGAGAGTCCTCTAAAGGCCCAACCATTGAAAAATGTGGAAACGTTTCCTCTTTATGCTCTTCCAGTGAACTTAACTCTAACAAAGTGCCCCCTGGATGCTCTTCCAACAGAAAAATGATTTTATTGTGTCTTCTGAGAGTCCACCCTGTCTATAAGAATTACCAAAATTCCCCCCTGCAGTATTTGAAATATAAGAAAGAGTCCTCTAGATAACACTGATGTGGATAGATATTTAAAAAGTGAGCTCTGGATGCTCTTCCAGTGTATTAATCATTGACAAAGTGCTCCCTTTACTGCCTTTCCAATGTAGCTCTGGATACTTTTTCTATAGATTTAACAAAAATAGTGTCCTCTGGATGCCCACCCTGTATACAAAATATGGAAAAAGTGCCCTCTTCATGCTCTTGTCCCTTGGATGCTCTGCAAGTATAGTGCCTTCTGGATACCCTTCCTATGGTAAAACATAATAAATTGCTCTTTCAGGAGCTTGACCTTTTTTATACACATAGTTGACACTAACAGTCTTTTTCAATTTTGGTGTGAAATCAGTTTCTTCTATGATTTCGTTCATTTTGAAATGACCATGTTAAACTAGAACGACAAACAGCAGGCGCCCTTTATATTTTCTTTTTTTTGCCCCTGCCCCTCAGACAACCTGAGTACGTCACTAAGGTTATAAATCTAGTTTTGTTTTGTGTCTACAAGGCAGGCAGGTGAGCTTCTTGGGTGAGCCTCATGGCTCTTAATACCTTGAAAGCCTCCAGTCGTGTTTGTAATATTGTGCAACTGCAGCTTGTACACAGGCAGTAATCTGATCTAATGTGTGTCTGGAAGGCTGCGAACACTGGCAAGCACAGGGACATAAATATGATTTAAATAGTACAATCATAACCCTTGGACGGGCCTGTGATAATCAGAGCTCTGATTTCATTAGTGCTGGCACAGAGGACGGATATTATTCAGCTCACCAGCTTGTTGAAACAACATCCAGCAAATCCCTCGCTCCATTTCTCTGTCATGAACTCTGACTCATGGGAGTTTTTCTTCAGCCACCTCCCAGTGAGTTTGCTGCCTGCTGCTCCGGCTCTTTTGTTCCGATGTGCGGGGACGCGCTCATTGTTCTGACCCAAAACCCTGTTTGTTTGAAGTTTATCGGAAGATTGCTTTAAAGTAATTTGATCAAAGCAGAATATTTCTCATGAATAAAAGCAAAATGATAATTAAAATATGAATAAAACCCCATATTAATGCTGCATCTGAACAGATCTTGAAACAACATTTTCTAAAACACAATATATTGGTGGGACTCTGTTAGGATAGGCAGTGAAAACACTCCTCCATCTCTCTCCTGCTCCTCAAGACCCCTCTCTGTTTTCCTCTCTGTGGCAATTTGCATTCAATGATGTCTTTATTTCCCATCATCCTCTGGCAGTTTCCTGTGCCAAGAGAGTAATCTGTGCCAACTCTCTGACCATGCCAATCCAATCACAGTAATCTCTCAGAGGGCCAGAGGCCAAAGAGCTGCAGCTGCCTCCCCATACATACGAACATATAAGGATACGATCCGGACTCCTATCTGTATGAGGCTGATATCAGCACCCAGAATATAGTGGGTCTATATTCATGATAAATTAGAGGATGTATACATGCAGTAATCACCTTTTTAATTCATAAGCAAATGCACATATTAAAGGGATATTACGGTGTAAAATTAATTTAGGATCAAACACAATGTAACGCTGAGTTAGACACCCCCTCGAGAGATGAATGTTGCCGATCGCTTGCTTCTTTAGTCTTAGTTCTTAGTTTAACGACCGCAGGATAGCAATACACAGAGGTCTGAGGAGCCATAGACGAACCTCAACCAAAACGCCACTCTATAGCCACAAATAATGCTCAGAACAGCACCTAACTTCATCAACAGAACATATAGAGTCCCAGCCATAGTACTAGCCACCAAACATCTTTTTAACTTTGCCTGATTTCTTTAGCAAAAAGACCAAACACAACTCACCTACAATCATCTAGCAGCCGCTTGTTTGTAGTTAGACCTCAGGCCAGTTCATTGCAGACTGCTGCGAGGTGACGCAGCTCAAGGAAGAACATTTATGATCCTTTCTTTATTATTTTCTTGAAGTAATAATCATCATGTTAATCATTTTGCACTGCAGATGCGGTAGTTTCTCTGCCTTCACGTTTCCATGAAGAAATCATCAGAAATGTTCTTTCTTGAGCTGCGAAACTCCGCTGCACTCTATAATCGACTGGCTCGAGGTCGGCAAGCGGTCGGCAACATTCATCTCTCGTGGGGGTGTCTAACTCTGTGTTATTGTGTCCCCCCGTCATCGCCATCATATCTTCCTCACAACTTTAAAGGAACTCAAAAGTCCCCACATGTTGTGTTGGAGCACAAGGCCACCAGGAAACTGTGTACAGATGTTTATACTTCTTTTTAGTAAAAATGTCATATTCAGTAATCAGCCTCATATCAGCAAGCTGTATAAGAAGTGAGTCTCATAAATGCATCACAGGAGCTTCTTGTCCTCGTAGGCCACCATCACTTTCACCATCACTTCACTTCAGCAGCTAAAGGGGTGAGCAAGGGAGCATTATTTAAGTCTGAATTCTGACTGAAATATATTGCTTAATATTTCCATTTCCAAACACGGGAACTTGAATATTCCCCGAAGAAGAAGAAGAAGAAGAAGAAGTAGAAGAAGACTGAGGTTGCCACGGCACTTCGGCTCTGCAGCTATGAATACAAAGGTAAATGACCTCTGGGTGCCAACGCAGTTTATAAATACCTGACAGGAGCAGCAGTTAGAGAGAGCCGATAGAGGTGGGTGGTACCGAAATGCAAGGAAACAAAGGGTTCAAGCTAGATCAAATCCAGGCACATTATGTTTTCTTTATAGTAATGTTTCCAATAGTCAATATCTTAAAAAAAAATCTGTTTGTTGTGTTGTTTTTGTTAGAGACATTAAATGAACAGAAAAATCTTTTAAACAGTTTATTATTGAGAATGTTAGGCTGAAGATTAACAACACAACAGAGCAGCAGGACAAACTGTTTCTCAGTATATTTATACAAGTTTCACATGAGAGTCACTGGTTTAGTTGAGTGAGATGAGTGTGATGGTTTCCTGAGTGTGGTCAGAGAAACCATCGTACTTCAGCTGTTGGTGAGTTACATCCTGGCGTTCCTGCTAACTGCTACATCACAGTGACAAAAGTTAGAGTCTCAAACTACAACGACCTGTTAAAACTCTGATCCAGTATACGTGAAACTAGTTTTATATTACAGTGGCACAACACAGCTCGGTTCAAGACACGCCATGCTGTGAAACATTATGACAAAACACGAGGAAATACAAAATGATCATGTCTGTGCTTGGTGTTTAAACCTCCATGGGATCCATGAAATAAACACTTTCCCACCAACAGGATTCAGACTTTAGTCTTCACTGTAGATGGCTTAAAATGAGACAGGCTGGAAATTCCCTCTGAAAGCTCCTGTGAGGAGTTTTTAATTGGTTATGAAATTAACACTGATGTCTCTTTATGATGTAGAAAGGCAAACGAGACCATACTTTAACTTTTTACTCTGAAGGGATAGGTAGACTTAAGAAACAACCCTTAGTCTTTTTTTTCCAGAGTGAAATATTCATAATGAGTGATAAGTTTTATTGTAAAAAGACTGCGGGATTACCACTTTGACCACAGCGGGCGCCAAAGTCAACACAGACAGGAAGTCACTCACAGGAGCTTTAAATTTTGCAGAAAATTTAACTTCTCATAATAGGCGAAGCTTATTATTTTAAACATTTCCTAACGTTTACTTTAAGGGCCTGTGTCCTCTGTATTTGCAGTCCTGGTAATGTCCACAACCTTACTTTCTGTTGCTAGGCTACTACAGTTGTTCGGCAGCACTTCTGCTTCCCTCAGCCGTGACTGTTAAACCCAATTTAAACCCCCCACGTGCTTTATATTTATTATTTATTACATGAAAAAATTAAATGGTTATTTTCTCAGTTATTCCGACCTCTGCCGTTGTTGATACCAGAAACCCTTTAAATTCAGATCTATCAGTAATGGAGTAGTAACACGAATTAGCTCAGCAGTGTTCCTAAATTAAACTTTAGACTGAGAATGATGAGGTCAATTTTGATCTCAGGATGCCAGAAACGCTGAAATGCATCAGCTTCGTTGAGGAAATAGACCCTGCCAGTATTCATAATACTGTGAGTGGACACAGGCCCTTAATGAGAATATATTTCTTACATTTTTAAAACTCTCCAAAAGTGCGGTCACCACTCTTTAATGGAGAAAGAACAGGACAGCGAACTAAACCTGTTTGTTTCATCTACTTATCACATCTGAAAGTAAGGTTTGTTCTCGTTGCCATCTAGCCTGGATTTCATGGGAGTTGGTAGAAGATCGAACCAAGGTACAGCTAAAATTACCCGATTAATTTGGTACCAGATAATACTCAAATTGAACTCCAATTTTCAACGACTGTTTTTTATGAGAAGAAGCCATGTGTATGACATGTTTTTCAGTCCATATTCATGATATTTATACAAATAAACAGAATATTAAAGTGGTTTTCCAGTATTTTTACAAATTTGAAATAATTCAAATACAGAAATTCATTACAAATGCACAGCTACATAAGATAATAACACTTCAGGACAGCAAAACGATAATTCAACATGAGCTTTCTCATTATATTCAAACACTCAGCTTGTGCATGTGGATTATTAGTCGTGGTTGCAGTCTGCTCTGTCCGGATGTCTCTCTTGGTTTCATGTTTTGGTGTTTGTTGGCGGTTTGTTTCTAAGGGGTGGCCTAGCAGGGGGCGGTGAAAGATTGACGGCTTGGCTTGAATCCAGACTATAATCTCATTGAGGTTATAGTTCAAACAGAAATCAAATAATACTGTGTTTGTTTGACAGATTAAGTTGTAGAAGCATACTGCGAGTTTACACGGCACTCGGGCTGGATGCCAAAACATTTAATCTCCTAATGGTATTTCTCAGGTTGTCTTTTTCCATTCCTTGATAAACAAACAGCCTCAGGTTTTTCCTCTTTCACAGGGTTGATACTTGTGCAAAATGAAGAGATTAAAGGAAAGTCGAGCCATCCAGCGACATAAATGCTCACATTGTCCTTCAGCTGGTTCATTTGCTTGGTTTATAATGTATTTAATCACGATCCCAGTTGTCTGTCCTGCTGTTGCTCTGCAGTTTAGGGGTTTGAGGCTCATCAGAGAGCCGGGATGATTTGACAGCTTTGATTAATATGAATTAAATCTAATTCACAGGTTTGGGCTTGGGCTGAGCTGCGCCCTGATCACACAAGCATAAAACGAAGACACATGTTTCTGCATAAAGAAAAGATTCATCTGTATTCAAATATTGTCTCATATGTTATCTTCCTGTTGGAGGTTTTAGTGTTGATGCGTACATTTGGAGGCCAGCCAGCTTTTGAAATTACAGAAACGGTTTAGTATTTGGGCGTGACAGTGAGGTGACACAAAGTTCACAGTACAGGGAGATTTGTCTGCGTTGTATCTCGCTTTTTAATGCAAACCATTTTTAGACTCTTCTTGCATTAAGCGCTCGGTTTAAATTGGAAAACAGTGAGCTTTATGTCAAGGATTTTTGTGGCAGCTCAGTCTGAGACTGAAGCTAAAAAAAGGCTGTTATATCACTCCCTGTAGTGTTTTTACAGCTCGGTACACTGTGCACCTTGATGGGAAAACAGTCGACTCATTTTTTCCCTCACAGATCCAGACTGTAAGTGGTGTTTTATGTCTAGAAATGACAAACTACCAGGGGAAACAATTCCTCTGGAGAGATCTCAGCTGTTTATGTGGTGTCTTTTTAAGTGCTGCGTAGTTAAAACTCTTGCCTGAGGAACAGAGAAAACCTTGTGCAGCTTGCATGAATAAAAGGTCATATTTATGTGAAGAAAGAGTGTCATCTGGGCTTCAGTCTGCGTCTGCTTACAGGCCAAACTCTGACTTTTTTATCGTGCAGCATGACCATCTGTAAATAGTCCGAAGTGTCACATAATTGGCTGATTTTCTTATCGAGAAAGTGCCTCTCAGTTTAACGCTCTGTGCTCTTGAACGTTAATGAATCCTCAGAAGTGTGTGTTCACTTTGAGTAAACAGCTGCTGTAACTCGAGCATTCAGCCAGAGCCGCAGCTTTCATGGATCTTAGTATCTGCTGGAGAGTAACACAATAAAGGGTCAAACTGAGCCAAACATCCCTTTAGGTCCAAGTCAATCTGCCTGTTCTATATTAATAATCTCTATTTACACATCATTCCACTGTTATCTATAGAAATTCTTCATATAAATATATATAATATATATATTTGTATTTACATCTCTCTTCAAAAAAAGTCAGTAGTTCTGTGCGATCTATCCTATCAGAGTTAACGACAAAGAAATGAACGTATGTAGAGGTCAGTACAGGTCAAATAAAAATGCCAACTGTGCACCTGCAACTCGGATAAATCAACAGTGTTCCTCCAGCCGAGCCAATCAGAGCAGCCGACCGGTGCTTTCTTCACCACACACACACACAGACACGTGGTTATCTCTCAGTCTTTTTGTCTCTCTGTTCGTATCACGGACCAGCTCTGCTTGGGTGATCAGTGGTGTTGCCATGGTGACAGTACAAGAAGCACCAGGGTCAGCGGGGTCAAAGGTTGGGTTGACAATGTGTGGGCTGAGCCTCGAACAGCCACCTAGAGCGAAATGATACAAATATAGACATGGTAGAACAATCAATCAATCAATCATTGATCCTTTTGTTAAAAGTAAGAGTCATCTATGGACTATTCTTATTCACAATCATAAATCAGAAGACATTTTTCTCTGACAACATACTTTAGAGGAGCTCAGATGCTGTTATCAAACTGATAATGTATACATTTTGTGTTAAACTATATTAATTGCATTAATCAGCAACAGAAAATACAACCAATTGCCAAAAATCCTTAAAATATTAGAGTAAAATACAAAAATACTCTGTGTAATAGATTTCTAAAGTTTGTCCACAGCTCCATAGGGATTGCTGGAGGAGGCGGGATTTATGACCTATACCACAGCCTGTCACCAGAGGGTGCTGTTCTCGCGGTGGCTTCACCCAGCGAGAAGGTCTATGGTTCCTAGCCTTCACACAAGAGTAGTAATGAATGTAAAGGAAAAGTTACCTGTGGAGGTGAGGCTCGGTGAGGGGGGACAGGTCGCTGAGGAGGGGGAGGAGCCATGTCTTTTATTGGTGGGATGTGACCGCTGGCTATGCCACCTGTCTCATCACCTGAGGACGAGAAAACATAGTGGTAAACAAAATACTCAACGAAAACCCTGTAACGTATCTTTTCATTTCTACATGGTGAATAAGTTGATCGCCTTTTACTATCAGTCATTCGTACTTCTTTCACCTTATGACTCACTATCTTAAAAAAAAAACAAGTGTTCCATTAACCAAAACCTTTATGTTGAATGAATCATTTAGAAGAATCTAAATTAGTTTTCCTTTTTTTGTGCATCCTTTAAAAAATCCCGACACAATAAAGACTTTGTGTCACAAGCTGCAGTTAACACCTTCAGGCTCATATCAGACATGAACATTGATAAGCTATTTACTATGGAAGACGAAAAGAGACAAAATGAAATAAATAAATACATCTTTAAATAATTACTTAAATATGTCATTAAATAATTAAAGCATATGGATCACACTGTTAGCAGCATGAGTCCTGCCTACTGACTTTGATGGGTGAGTTTGACAGATGAAATAAATTCAAGAAGCACTGCAACACAGGTCTATAAAATTATTAAATAAATAGTGAAATAATTATATATGTATATACTGGTATTTCAATAAATTAATGACACATTTATTTATTTGATTCCTATTTTAATTAATTAATGACATATTTAAGTATTTATTTAAAGATGTGTTTATATATTTCATTCTGTCTCTTTTCAACCTCCATAGTTTACATAAGTGTGATCAAATCTGTGTGTTGTCATATTTGGAATAGTCATAAAATTGTTGGGATTTTATTCACTTTCATTATTAATAATTATTTCATTATTATTATTATTGATGTGGTGTTATTAGATTGTATAATTGAGGATGTAGCAGACTGATTAATAAAGAGACATTTTGAAGCCTTGAATACGCTGACTAAACTTTTGATCAACCTACAAACGTGCAGAGAGGTGGAGCTGACGCAGGCTTTCAGCTTCCTCCACAACACCAACACACCCACCTGTCAGTCAGCTGCATCAGTGTGTCACTCATGTGTTTACAAAAACATTCATCCTTGTACACTGTGTTAAAGCTGTATAGATATTAACCTTTTCCCAAACTTGAAATCTGGTTTCTAAGTGCTCCATATGAAAACAGCTGATATCCAAAATGAAGTACGTAACTCGTATGATAATGATCTTAAACTGGGGAAATCTGGCACCTCTTTAATCAAGTTTTGCAAGCAATAAACCCACGTTTATACAACGTTAAGTGTCTGCAGAGATCAATTAGATGAACCCAAACAAGTTCAGGCATTTGCAAACAATCTGAGAAATGCAGTTTAAAAATATCCCAGTAAATAAACAAGCCTATAAATTATAAGTCTGAGAGGAGGTTTGTGGAAGTCACTCTGGATCTGTTTTTAGTCGCATGAATCTCATAAAATCTTGCATTAGTTATGGCCGTGTTGCTGTTGTTTAGACCTGAAAGATTTATGAATTTCACCCAGCCCACACCCATCTCGGCAAAAAATGTGAATATTGTTACCTTACACACACACAAACACACACACACACACAAATACACACAATTACACAAAGACAGGACTGAGATATGTGACATGTTGCTTAATTAATGGGCATATGGACAGACTTCCACAGATGCTTTCATGCTTTCATATGCATATTGTGTGTGTGTGTGTGTGTGTGTGTGTGTGTGTGTGTGTGTGTGTGTGTGTGTGTGTGTGTGTGTGTGTGTGTGTGTGTGTGTTGGCAGCAGTCCAGGCTCCTCACGGGAGGAACTAAGGTAAATGAGGGGATTAGGACGGGAGAGAGACAGACTGCGCCGCTGGCTAAATGCGTGCACACACGCACACAATCACACACATATCATCTGGATCATGCTCACCTGCACTACGTCGCACTACATGCTCTATTCTGGCATACACACACTTTCACACACGTACACACACGCACACCTGCTCGGGGAGAAATCTGATTCTGCGTGGTACAATACACATTGTCCTGCAGCACAATAGACAAAGAGCCTCTTTGAGTCGCTGAGGAATGAGACGAGTTCTTAATGTTCACACACTCACACAAATATTATATCTCATCATAACACAGACATTAGACCGCAGCAGGAGACTGTTTAAAGACGCACAAAATCGCACTAAATCACGCACACGCACACAAAGTTGGAAATACAAAACCCTAACAGATGCTCCTCCGCTAATAAAAAATAAAATCAGTGCAAGAGACGCCTGATGTTTTTGTTTTCATCCGTCAGTTTGATGATTCAGATGATTTACTTCCAGCTCAGTGTTTTTGATCTTTTATGGGAGTTATTTCCTGACAAAAAGCTTCACAGAGCAATAAGGGAACCGGGTTTTTGGCGATGCAAATGTGCGTGAGTGTGTTTGTTTGTTTGTGTGTGGTCTGTTTGGTATCCATCTGTACCTATTAAAACCATAAACCGTATGTCACATCTGGTGTGAACCTGTTTAAGAAATAAAGCTGCGTCCTATTATTATTGCATTTGTGAGGAAAAATTTTCAAAGAGAGCAAAAACTGTTTTCTCTCTCAGCGAGAGGGTTCAGGTTCAAGACGTTAAAGGTTCAAAAGTTTGTGTCTTTTTAGGCCGGAAGAAACATTCAACCACAGAAAACTGAAAAGCCTGTACGTCTTCCTGTTCCTCCTATAGCTTGTTCCAACCACAAATCTCACTTTCTGCACACTCACAGTGTAATGCAAACACCTAAAGGAGTGCACGCCCACTGACGTCAAGATTGTTCTGTCAATTATTTCCTGAAAATGTTATCTTTCTTCACTCATGTGTATATATCATGCAGAACATGTGCAACATAGGTAAGGTGCAATATACCTTGATTAAAGAGTTGCTATGTGACTCTGAGGGTTGTTAATGTCTGTTCTTGTTTATTTTTAACACTGTTGAGGTTGTTAATTGTGCACAACAGTCTGAATGTCCTTGTAGGAACACTAAGTTGTATCTTATAGTACAGTATTGAAAATTAGCCTTCAATTTATCAAAGTGATCATTCTGTACTGTAATTTTTAGATGGCTTTAATTGTATATATCAACTTTTATAAAGGAAAAAGACAAAAAACGTATGCAGAATCTCTGTTTATCTATGGATAGTTTTGCTTTTATTCAACATTTCCTCAGGCGACCTTAATAAGACGATAGTCCAGCTGTCACAAGTCCCCTTTGATAAGTCGCCATAGATTGCTTAGTAAAATTCGCCCATGCTTTCTCCAAAAAACTACAATCCCATGAAACCTAATCTGGCAAAAACCGCCTTCTAATGTCTGGACCCATCACAATCTTCTACGTCATCTGAACCAACTTCCAGCCAATCATATAGTGTGACGTCATCAATAGGTGCCGGGCTCCGAGCCAATCTGACAGCCTGAACACATCTAGTACCTACACCGGCTTTGGCATCCCATGTAAGCATGAGGAGGGGCAGGGAGCTCTTAGAACAGAGCCACAAAACCAAATTGGGATATTGCATTTATATACTCAGGATGTGCATTTCCAGAAATCCCCATGTTCAAGTAATCGAATAACTTTATGAACAAATAGGACTTGCAAGTTATACATTTGTTACCGGGCAACTAGGTTTTTATGCAGTTTTCATCGGTACTGCGTGACTGGAGGACAGTGGTCTCTTTTGAACTCCCCGTTGTTGTCCCCCATGATGGTGGCTCATCCTCCAGCACATCAAACGCCGTCAGCTCACGGAAACCTTCTACAAATCTTAATGGGAGCATATCTCCAGTCAAAGTTTTCATTATTAGCAGGATAATCTTCTCTGCTGGAATCATCACACCGACGTCTGCTAACAGCGAATGCTGGTATGTGGGATTGCCTGTCAAATGTCTCTGCTGTCATCTCCCAGTGCTCTATGTTGTTAAGTATCAAACTAGTATTTCTATGATACATATGTCTCACACTGCATATCTTGCGCAGCACATTACCGTCGTCCTTTTTGTCAAAATGGTTCCTCACATCACTTTCTCTGGTCTCGGCTGACATGGTGCATGAACCTGTAAGCGGACTGAGTTGTAGTACTTCAGCTGAGATCAATGCATGAGCAAGTAGTGCAACAATACTTGAATATTAATGGCCCTACATGACTGATAACAGAATCCAAATTTCAACTGTTATGTTGCTGAATTAAGGCAAGATGAAGTCTAGCACAAATTTCCCACTGGGACGATAAAGTCTATCTTATCTTAACTCGTGTTTCTTTGAGTGACTAGTTTGCATGTAAATATATCCTCTGACATTTGTGTATTCTGAGGTGGCAACATGGAGCCTCCTCCTTCTTCATGTCCTTCAGCATATTTGTCTCTTAGCAACAACCCAGAACATGTTACATATGGCATATTGGCCAGAAACACTCACTGCCAGAGATGAGTGATGAACAATGTCACCAGTCATACTCATGGGGTATTTTAACCTTTACTGCGATGAGTAATGATTGTGACTCTGTGTGTGTGTGTGTGTGTGTGTGTGTGTGTGTGTGTGTGTGTGTGTGTGTGTGTGTGTGTGTGTGTGTGTGTGTGTGTGTGTGTGTGTGTGTGTGTGATAATGAGAATGCCAGAATGACATTTGAAGGATCCCATCAGTGTGTCGCAGAGGTGGTTTGCAGTGTCCAGTTTCAGGTTGTGTTTTTTTTTTTTATTGATGCTCAGCAGATGAACTGCTCACACTTCATTCATGCACAGTTTGTATCCCCAGAGGATGAACCGATTGTTTATAAAGAAATATAAGTCAGAGCTAATAAATGTCTCGGCCTTAACACTGAGCTGTAACGCCGATACTATTCCAAAACAATAACATAAAACTGAAACTGGATTTAGTGAGGAGTTTGCCCCGGGGCGACAGCTGAGGTCCCAGGCTAGTTGAGGAGGGACATAAATCAGAGCTGTGCTGACCCAGAGGACACAGAAGAGCTGCCAAGTGTTTAATGTATCTCTGTATCTGTCTTTCTCTCTCTCTCTCTGACATACACAGTTTCACAGTTTGAGATTGGACACTGAAATTTAACCGATGTGATCCACAAACTCTAACTTGATGTGTTATGATAACATGTGAAAATGGCACATTGATATTCAATTTACTGAGCCAAAAGATCAACCATAAGCAAAGAAAAAAAAAAAGATCTGATGAATACATTAGGGCTGCAACGATTAGTTGACGTTGACAAAAATTGATAATGAAAAAAGTCGACAATGAATTCCATTGAATTCCAGTGGAGTGAGGCATCTTACTTCATTACAATCTTTGCCTAGAGTCACACATGTGCAGTGTATAGGGTACCTGAGCAGTAGGGTATTCAAACATGGCAGCGTTGACATCCCACACAGCAGCCACGAGAATGCACTTAAAACCCTTCAATGTTTGGGAGCACAGCAGACCTTGCATATCACTTGATGCACAAACATTTGAGGAGAAGGCACATCAGAATGTTGAATGAACAGTTAGACTCGCCTCGGGAAGATATTATCCGACTGGTCAACAAATCATTTCAATAGTCAACTATCAAAATACTCGTTAGTTGCAGCCCTAGAATATATAAATAATTTTTTTCAGATTTGCCACATATAATAAGACAATTCATATAGAATTTAATTATTTAATTGAGCTTTATTTGTTTAAAAATGCATTCATTCAATGATTGTTTGCAGTGATTTATGTCAGGCGAGAATACTCTCAGACAGTTAAGAGGGAAAGACATGTTTGCGTATCAGGAAATAGTCTTCAACTAGTTTTTTTAAGTTGTTTATTATATAAAGTACAGGCAGCCTGAGGCAGATACTCTCTGACTTTTAGCAAATTAGATATGAGGAAGAATGTTAGTTGACTTATCCGCTGAGATATGCAGGTGTTAGGATCAGCTAATGTACTGTGGGCTGAACTTGACTTTGGTATCCCGTCTGAATGGACGCTATGCTCCACTCTCAAATGCTGTGTGCTTACTGTTCTTGAACCGTAAGGATTGTTTGCTAAATTTGACAAAGAGCGAGGAGAGAAAAGGAGAGAAGGGAGATTGGAAGGAGTGGATTATGTTAATGTAGAGGAGTTCAATTAAATTCAGGTACTCAAAATGCAGAGACATGTAAACTACTTCAGCTGGTGATCTTTATTACCCCTAACTAGCGGTAATCAATTAAAGCTCCTGTGACAAACCTTTAATGTGTTTTAATTTTAGCACCCCCTGTGGACAAAGTAGCCTTTACATATCTGGTCGTTTGCATGTTTAAGTCGTGTCATCTCACAAAAAGGTAAAACAGGACTTAGTCTTCAGCTGCTCGGCGGACACCTATCCTCTATCCGATTTAGGGCATTAAATATTAAGAAATAAAAGACCCTTCAGTCTCACTTATGGTCCACACTTGAGTTCGGCTTTACTATTGCACTAAATAAAAATGACTGTTTATTAAATATGAAGAACAAATACAGCAAGAGTTGATGAATAAGCAGCTTTTCAAAATAGACACATCCTCGCCAATGACAAAACTTGCTCGTGCCTTAACTGAAACGACGATAAAAATTCCATTGACTGTGTTTATTGTTTTGTTTTTAATGATGTTTTTGTATCACAGAGGAAATAATGAAGTCTTAATCCGCTGTAATCTGCGGCTGTAATGTTCAGGCCTCAGCGTTTCTGCCTGATCCATCCCAGAGAAGTCAAACCTCAGCATTACTGGGTCTGATTCTCCGGTCTGAGAACTGAAACTAAAGCCAACTGACAACACAGCATCTCTCTAATAGCAGCAGACATTATGTGTGTGTCTATAAACACGATGAGCGCCGCAGAAACACGTTAGCTATGCTTTGATCAGACCTGTGTGTGTGAGTGTGTGTGTGTGTGTGTGTGTGTGTGTGTGTGTGTGTGTGTGTGTGTGTGTGTGTGTGTGTGTGTGAGTGTGTGTGTGAGGCTGAATCAACATGCGTCTTAATGTGGTGAACAAAGATGGAGAGCGTTTGCGCTGTCTCGTCTTGCCTTAGATGATAACTCTGGCTTGTTCACATACTCTGAGTTGTTATGTGTGTGTTTGTGTGTGTGTGTCTTATCTGTTTGTATACAGTGTGTTTAAGTTTGACACAGTTTATTCAAGGAGATGGAGGGATGAAAGGATGGCAGGGAGGCATGATGTGATGAGTCGAAGCTGCAAAGGAAACTGACAGCCAAAGTAAATAAGTGTGTGTGTGTGTGTGTGTCTGTGTGTGTGTGAACTGCAGTCTTAATGATGGCCTCTGATATCAGATGCCCGTGGTGTTTTGTACAGAACTGTCAATTTAGACCCCAATTACGCCCGCGCCTTTTGCCCTTCAATTTGTATGTGTATAACAGACATTCATTCTCTGACTCTCGTATTCACACACTCTCCGGACACACAGACACAATCAAACACACACACACAAAGATGACCTTGAAAAGCGTCTGGATAGCTGGTGTGTGTGTGTGTGTGTGTGTGTGCGTTTGTGTGGGCGTGTAAATGTATCCCCAGCATTTCCAGCTGAATCAGTAATGAGCATTTCATTACTTCAGCCTCAGTTCCCCGGGGAGGAAACCCACACAGTCTCTCACACACGTACACACACACACATGGAAACAGGAAGAGCATGGCAAAAGGTAGCCGTGGATTATAGCTTCTGCATGAACTTATCAGAGCTGAATGATGGGGAAAGAGAAAATAGCAGAAAAAGGCAGAAAGAGATGAAGAAAATACGGCATTTTACTGTAAAAATCGAAGTAAATGTTAAAGTGATTCTTCACCCTGAATATAAATAAATGCTCACTTTATACATTTCTTTTATGTTGCTTCATACTTAACTTGCTGTTTCTCAATTATAAGTTTTCAATTAATAACGGTATAATACTGTTATTGTGATTTTTTTTAATCATGAGGTGAAAATCTGACATTGTGACAGCAGGATACAGGAGTTTATTCGGCTGCCTGAGGAGGTCACCTGCCAAAAGTCACAACTACTACCTTCACAAACTGATTTGGACAAATAGTCAACAACTTATAAACCCATGTCGTATCAGTAGGAAGGAAATCAGCAAATATCCTGAGGCCAGACATTTTTAGAGGACAGACTCAGCAAAGACACCTGAGAGACAATAAGAACACAAGAACATCAGCTGTGGAGATAAAGATCTTCAGATATCAGTCCATAAAGAGTTCACATGCTGTCGTTTCAGGGTGGGATTATAGTGTACTTTTAATTCGCCTTGTCTTCAAGCATAAAGGTGAGGGAAGTTATTCTGCCTCTGATCGGAAATGATTGGGGGGAAGGAGGTAGCGATGTGTGGGGTCAGTGTCGGAGTCAGATCCACCAGAGGTTGCCAGGGTCGCTAAAGACGTGCCACCTACTTTGACCGTGCCACATGCATCTTGAATTAAGGACTCTTATCAATAAAACTGACACTCTACAATACTAGATTTAGACTTTTAATACTTTTTAAAGTTTTTCTTCATTGTTTAAATGAGTTTTAATTAGGGGTGGGAATCACTAGTGGCACCACGATACGATATTATTGTGATTCTTAACATTTTGCAATACAGTGAGTATTGCGATTCAATATATTGTGATTTATACAATTTTTTCCACTGTTGAGCTAATTTAGCATTTGTCTTTCCTTTATGTTTGTCTTATTTACACAGTATTTTATTTTCATGTAGCACATCATGCAAACCTTATATATTAGGATGACCACACGTCCTCTTTTACCAGGATACGTCCTCTTTTTTGGGGGGTGTCTGGGCTGTCCGGCTTTGTCTGGGGAAGCTTATAAAATCACTCAAATGTTCGTGGTTTTATACAGAAGTTTTGATTTTGTGTCACATGGACTTACTGAATCAGAAGTGCGTAATCAGACCCGAAAAATTCCAAATTAACTTTGTGCGACTCCGTGACTCTGTAGTCATGTCCTCTTTTTGGGAAGTCAGAATATGGTCACCCTATTATTTTCATTTGTAGCACTAACTTTCTCCTGCTCTATAATGTCATCTTTGCAAACCTCACTAGACAAACAGTTGATTTTATTTTTACATTATCATAGATTTGACTTCATATAAGCAATTAATTTGAAAAATCGATACTTCGCAAATGAGACGATACGATATATCACCAGACAAAATATTGCGATACTATGCTGTATCGATTTTTTCTCCCAACCCTAAAGCCTTTTTTTGTACATCTTATGTACTTGTCCTGTATTTTGTAATGATAGCACTCATCCTGTTTTTGTTCTACACTCAAACTAATCGCTCAGTGCAAACACTTGAAGTGGAAATTGTAAAAATGTCTGTTTCTTCAGCCTGCTGTTAAACAACTTGGCTGTAATGGTTTTGAAAGTAACTCAGTGGAAATAGTCAGTCCTGTTGCTGATGGTTCCTCTCGCTGCTGTTGCTCATAACAGTATCAATTTCAGTCTGCCTCATAACCTGTTAGAAATCCCTCACAGGAGCTTTAATGACGGTGGACATCAGACTGTATTCTGCTCCAGTGGTGCCCCTTAAAATGTGTAATAAGACAGTCTCAAAGTAATCTCAGCATTAATGGTTAGCTCCGTAATATCCGTTAGAGGTTCGACGTGTGGTGAAGCATCTTTCCAAGGTCACACTCAGCGAGGTTAAACACCGCCTGCAGTCAGATAATAAAACCTTTGGAGGACAGACAGAGAGAAGAAAACAAGCAGCGAGGGGGCCACTGTGATTGGAGGTGGATGAAAGGATGAGCGCGGCGGAGTGATTGGTTGAAGGTTTGACATCCACGCAGGGCTGGTGGGGGTTGTTGTGCTGTTTGCTCTGTGGGTGTGTGTGCTCATTTGAATACTTGAGGAATGAAACTGGAGGTGCGGAGAGTGAAAGGAAGACAAAGCAAGGGCAACGAGCATCTCTCCAAAGGTCAAGTGGTGGAACAACAGAGGGAGAGAGAGCGGCTGCTAAACGGATGATGTGGAGGCAGATTTGCATGAACAAACTCACTCGGGTGTGGAGGAGAGAAGGGGAGTCAAGCAGAAAGACAGGAGAGCCGATAAGAGGCAAACAGACGGGGCTGATAGACAGGCGGGCAGGCTGGGAGACATCAGGACATGACAGCAGATGTGGGAGACGCTTGATGGAGGTTATGTCTTTGTTGATAGCTTGAGTGCCTATAATTAGACAACGGTATCAGTTCAAAACAAATTAAGGTGATAAAAATATACGCACGGATGTAAATATCCCTCAAAGCACACCTAAGAGACGTACACAAGGTGATAAAAAACGTGAAAATTTACAGCTCAACCAACAAGTGTCATAAATAACTTCACACCTGAAAAAGTGGAAAAGAGGAGAAAAGAAAAGGTAGAAAATATGAGATTTGGGATATCTGGGGGGTATCGTATCGTATCCTGATTTTACCTTTTCCTTACCCGTTTTCTCCACTTTTTCAGATGTGTAGTTATTTATGACACTTGTTGGTTGAAATATACATTTTTAGTAGTCACCATTCGACTACTTTAGCCACAATTTCTTGAAGGTATTTGACTTTGGTCAGTTTGTTTGCTGTATATAATAGATTGACTTTTTGCAGATAAGGTCAAAATGAAGACAAAAAAACAAATTTGATTGGAAGATGAAAGTCAACAGTCGTGTTTCTACGTTCCAATAATCCTTCAACCCACTAATAAACATATGCTGTTGCGCTCTTTGTGTCAGTTTACTTGTAAATAAAAAGCCAATACATTATTACTGATCAAGATGCCAGCTTGGTAAATTCTATATGGGTTAATACCATAGACGGTATATAGATTGGACGCCGTCTGCCTCCCTAGCCACCGTGAGAACAGCACCCTCTGGTGACGGGCTGCAGTACAGGTCATAAATCCCGCCTCCTCCAGCAATCCCTATGGAGCTGTGGACAAACTTGAGGTTTATTACACAGAATATACATTTTTCTCCCCCCTGGTTGTGATGTTGACATGTAGTTACTGTCAGACTGGTTTGTGCTCAAGTCCTCTGTTTTCTGTACAGCTCCATTTTTAAAAGTTATTAGGGGGTTCATGTTTTCTATGATTGACACTTGATACAGCCTATGGGCGTACGAAGATTGCGTAGCTCACCTGGGAGATACGCTGTTTGAGCTGAGTGTCATCACAGCGACTCTCCCGCTGAATGTGTACAACGCTACTGCGCAAGTGGTGATTTCAGGAAGTGGAGAAAATCCTGGAAATACTGAGAGCAATTCAGCTTCAAATTCGTATACTGATGGAAGGCAGAGCCAAGTTGTTCATTGTGTATACAGTCTATGGTTAAAACCAGTTGTTGAAAAGCATGTTAAACAAAAGGTGTCTTATGTCAGACTTCTTCTTGGCATGAAGTACATAGCTTTAAACTTTTGCTTATTTTTCGGTCAACCTAGCAACCAAGCTGGCTAAGATATAGCATCACCTACTCTGTGACAAAACAGCACCTACATGCTGTTGCTCACATCAGCAGAGGCAGATTCTCTGGGTGCAGACTGTGCTCATTCTTAACTTTATGTTCAATCTGCTTATATTTTAAATTCTTCCACTGTGGACCAGACTCAGGTCGTCTGATTTAAGGAGTCTCCTGAGTTCAACATTGCCATGGCAACGATTTCAAGTGTGGAAACTTAAGGGACCATTTCATTAGCAGCAGAAGTGGAATAACTTCGATCAATAACATCAGAACAAACAATATTTTGAGACAAATCATTGATTTGGTGGTAAGCAGTGATAAAATAAGATTTGGGCTGGGATCCTGCGACACAATGTCAGGGTGGGTTTCCATCATCCCACACAAATCTGATTAAAAAACACACCAAAGTATGACTAATAACAGAAAGATGAGACTCTTATCTTGGCTTGATGAGAAAAGATGTTTTCATATTATAGTAAAATAACCTGGGAGATCACTTTTGCAGACGAGTGAACGTATTTCGAGATATTTCAGGAGAGGTGTACCTGATCAGATTTAGTGAGCAGCATTACGGCGGAAAGTTAAATTCTTTAATCTCTCAGGGCGCTCTGGACAAAACCGAGGGTGTGAAATCGCTTTGAAAGAGAGAGACAGAGAGAGCAAAGTGAATGTGTAATTCTTTAATGAGCCGTATCTCCAACCCTGAGGATCTATCATTATAACACTGCTGCTTATTAACCACTGCCACATGCTGAACACACACACACACACAAACACACACTCATACTCAGTATGAGCACAATGACTTCCCTCTCTCTGCAGATTGTTACCCCTCTCCTCCTCCTTCTCCTCCCCTCTTGATTACTCTTTGTGTCTACGTGCTCTGTATGTGTGTGTGCCACTTCCAGTCATTATAATCAATGTAAATGCGACAAAGCAAAGAAACAAGAGGTCAGAGGAAGAGAAGATATTAAGAGGGAAAATGGCAGCGCGATTAAGGAAAACAGAGAAGAACAGAACAATCTTAAAATGCATTTCACATACTTTAAATGTGCTTTAGGCAGAGGAGGACTGTATAAAGATGATTGATATTGTCTGAACACTGCAGCTGCATAATAGTCACATCATAGGACATGCAATATAAGTCAAATGTCCTGAAACGTGTCATTTACAGTCACCACTTCCTCCTTGTTCAGCATTAATCTTGAATGAATGTCTCACTTGAACACCCCCCTTCTTGAGCACACTAGGAAACTGACCTCTGAGCAGACGCCTCATGAATGTAGAATGTAAACATGCACCAGTCGTGACACTGCTACTGTCACAGGAACCCAGGAAATACATGATCTTGAATCAGTCCAACCTGGTGCTCCTTTCTTTTAAATGTTACCCTGCCCTGCTAGTGTTTACTTTTTGCATCTGCACCTGCCGTGCATCACAGTGATGGGAAAATCACATACAGATGATGTTGAGTTTTGATTTAAAGTCGTATTCCGATCATTTGTTTTTTACTACTTAAAGTGTTACCAGTGGTCTTTAAATTGAGATTATGAGGTTTTTAGCCAAAATCACGTTAACTGTGTCATTTCCAAGGGTTTTATTTCTGCAGTTCTGCACACTTCACTCTTCATTACCGGTGCAGCAGAAGTAGCAGGTAACATAGGAGCTATTCAGCTTTCGGACACTAATGTCTGTAAGGGCATGATGAAAGGTAATAATATAGATAGCTTTCTTACTAGCATTGCAATCCACTACTGCACATGCTGGTTCTACGATCATCCTCTCTAAATTTCCAAGTGTGGCTCAGTGGGGCCTTGGGGGCGGAGCTTGGATTTGCTACATAGGAAATCTCACTGAATCTGAGCTTACATTTTGGGTCTGCTAGAGATTCACAGCGATTTGAATGCAGAAAAACTTAAAAATGCAGTTTTGCACTTATTTTTCTCATGATGTATCCTGTAGCATCAGAAAAATGCCATATGAACATGTAGACAACAAGAAAAATATGATTTTCATCGGAGTGGGTCTTTAACCAGTAGTTTGCATTACAAGGCTTGTGATGCAGTTCAAACATTATGTTCAAAACCAAGAGTTTATCAATTATCGATTATGGGAAGGTATGTTTAATGCATGTATTAGCAAAGTTTCTGCAATTAATTTGAAAGACAAAAAACAGACCAAAGGATCTAAATTATGAGTAAAAGTTTAATTGTGATATTAAAAATTGTAACTCCTTCTAAGCACTTATCTATTTTTTATTTCTATATCTGTTTGTGTCCTTATACAATGCAGGGAGGAAAAAATGCATTAGATAATTATTATTTTCCAATATCCTGCAGTCTATATGAGAAGCAGATAAAGAGGACAGCGACTGCAGCCTGTTGCAGTGCAGCCAACATGTTTAATCAAAATTTAAGTCCCAACGATAACGAGGAAAACGACCAATCCCACTTTTAGATCCTGGGCTGCGGCGGCCAATTAGATTAAAGCGGGTTGGGTGGAAACCTCTCTGGAGATGCCCTGACAATTAGTGTGGTCATAAACTTAGTGAACAGCTGACATATCTGTTCAATGCATTCTTAATTATGGAAGTAAAACCTTTAATTAAAGCAGCAGCTCATTTCAGATAAATGTATTCATCAATGTAAATCACACCGGTCGTATAAATACCGGAGTAAATCTTATGAGGCGTGTTTGCTTTGTTTTCGATCAGGACTTGATACTGTATCAGAAGCACGCCGACTGCAGCTCTGGCATGTTTTACACTCTAATGTTCTCCATGCATGCATGTACAGGGGAAGCAGTTTCATTTTATTGCACAGATCAATCCACTCCAACGGCTCACTACGGGAACTTTTATAGTCACGGGTACAGATCAGGAGCCCTGCCAGACTTTTTTATTGTTCTTTCTGGCTCCCTTTAGACAAGACGCTTATGAATGCAGATCAAACTATCCTCGAGCAGAGGAGAAGGAGGGGGGGAGGAGGACAAGCGCTGGAAAACACTGGCCTTTCCCTTTAAGATGAAATGGCTTCTAAAGGCTTTGTGAATCTGGCCCCAGGGAAGATGGGGGGAAGAGGCCAAGGGAGCGAGGAAAAGAGGATGGAGGAAAGATACATGGAACAGGACAATAAATAGAAAATGGTTCAGCAATATCCTCTTGTGTTTCCATTACTGGGTGCAGGATTACGATAGGAACCAGCCACTTGCAGCATTTTAATTACAACTAAACTGTGCTCGAAGGTGCTGTAACACAATGGGGGTAACAAGATTACACAAAACACAATATGAAAGTACATTATGTGAAGAGAGAGAGGGCCACACAAATTCCACCACACCTCCTCTCTTCCACTTTTTTTCTTCATTGTCGTCAAATAAGGACCCATGGGAGGAGAGACCACCTGGTAACCATGGTTACAGGGATTGAGTGCCCCTCGTGGGTACACATTCTCGCACACACATAGAAAATAAAATACAGTCTACACTTGGTAAAGATACGAAGAGCACTTCAAGACATTCCTGCGCTTAAAATCTCCTGTTTTCTTCTTGTCCAACTGAGTGTAGCTACTTTTTTTTAGGACAAAGACACTAAATCCAAAGTGTGTATGAAAAAAATATCAATATTTTAAGTTGAAAGCATCAGCTCTTTCCAGAATAACCCGCCATTAGTGGTTAAAAAGTGACTCATGGATACCTGGAGGTTATAACATCCTCCTCCTCTGCATCCACCACCAAACCCCAGAGTAAAAAACAGCAATTATGGTGTCACACACAAGTTTCATTTGTTACACAGAAGAAGAGAGGAGCAGAAAGGAGAGGCTGTGATTACATTTACATTATTGACAGTACGGGTCCTGGATGTATCTGGAGGGGAGACGGCGTGATCGGAGAAGCTGCAGTTTAAGGAGGGATTGTGCCAGTTTGAGGAGAGAAAATCAATCACTTTAATCTTACAGAAAACAGCGAGTGGGGAGGATAAGAAATGACGAAACGAAGAGAGAAGGAAAGGAAAAAACTCCCCTGTGGTGTAATAATTCTGTAACTGAGTGTGTCTGATGGCATCTGTGGCATGCAGTTGTGTGATTATTTTTCAATCAAGTTAAGAAAGAAGAAAGCAATAACTAAATACACGAAAAGTGTAACAGATTAATAATATAAGTGCAAAACTCTGACTTTTTGTTGTTGATTTATTCTCCATTTTTCATCTTTGGTGTTTATTTTCTGTTATTTATTTTTGGAGGATCCACACGGATGAATTTCTAAAGTTTCTTTTGCATTTTTATTCACTGTTGTCAATTTTCAATCTAGTTTTCCATCTTTAGTTCAACTTTTTGTTTGTAAAGCACTCAAGACTGCACATTAGTATTTAATGTAATGAATATAATTAAAGATATGGTGGGTTGAGAACTTCATAGCAACTTAAGCATGAACTTGCAAGTCCCTTATGATGGGAAGGCCTATAGTAGTGTCTCCATGTGCATGTGTGTAGAAGTCTTACTAATCAGATATTAATTAAAGCAAGTATTACATTTAAACTCCAGCACATTGTTCAATCATTTATTCCATTGTCACTCTCATCATTTCATTCTGGTGCTGCTCTCTCAGCACCAAACACAAAACTCTCATGCATAGCTTGACCACAAGATAACCTGCTCATCCAAACCTCATCATACCACTGCTCAGTGATCAGGAACGCCACACGGATCACAGAGGACCCGTTTTATTCCCTTCACCACTCCTCAGAGTTACTCAAAGACCAAAGAAAACATGAAATCTTCTATTTTGTCTGCAACAACCATTGAAACAGCATGTTTGCTCAGCATCTAATCTAAAAGTCAGGACAAACAAACTAGAGAAAAAGACAAAGAGTGGCTCAAAGTCCACCATCACTTCACTTAACGTTAGTGTTTTTTTTGCTGATTGACCCTTTGGGCTGCTGTGACATAAAATAAACTCTGTGATTTACAAAATAAGCACTGTAGCTGTCTCCAACCTCGAAGATATTGGTGTAGCAGAGCAGCATTTATTTAAATAACAAGTCCTGAAATTTAGATCACTGATTCAATTTCAATGCATTAATGTGATTCTCAACTTTCCAAATGGATTTAAAAATGGATAAATGACACAAAATAATTGGATTTTGAAAATGTGATTTATTGTAAAAAAAACCAATTATATTACAGCCTAGGGCTGGTCGAAATTTACGACAGCAAACCAACATCGGTTTGCCCATGTCAATATATTCGGTGTCAAATAAATAAATACAAAAATAAAAGTTGGTTTTGGATGTGTGTAGGTAGGCTATGGTCTCATGTCCCTTTAAGATGTTAACCTACATCAGAGACGTGACTCCACCCCATCCAGTCTGTAACAAAGAGGTAAAGACAGGTGAGGAGATGGAGGACGGTTCAAAAGTTGTAGCAGCGGGAGCGGCGGGAGTAATAGACAAAGTTAATGTGGGAGGGGGTGAGTCGCTTGTGGAGTAGTTATTGAGGTGAATTGCTCAATATACAGTATCATGATATTGATTTGAGGCCATATCGCCCAGCCCTATGACAGCCCTATTTTCCATTTTAAGGTTTAAATGTAAATCTTGTTTTTTGTGAGTTAACTTAAGAATCCAGTATTAATATCTAATTAAAACAACAACTATCTATGACCTGCTTACTGGAAAATTGTGGGATATAATTGTTAAGTGTTTAATGTTGAGGGCGATTTCTGATCAATTTAAGGAATAGTTAATGAGACGCTTGGAAGTTGGACAATGTAACTTCTTCTTCATGACCTGATATCCATGAAACCCTTCACCTTGAAAGTTACATTTTACCATGCTAACATACCTCATCTTTGGCTCAGGCTGACTTTAACACCACATATGGCTCCAGTACCACTCTGGCTGGATGTATACTCTCAATCATTTATATATTTCTCTCTGAGCTTCATCTCCCTGCTTTCCCCCATATGTTGAGGTGTTTGACCCATTCCATTGTTTCTCATCTGTGAACAGCGTCTGCCAAATGTCTCTTCCTCTCTGGACTGGAATCAAGCTTTAAATGGACTTAAATCAAATAATCATAAGCTGCGCGTGCTGTCTCAGCATGACTAAAATAACTTCTCACGGTTAACTGGCCAACATAAATAAAACACAGGCTGGGTGACAAGATGTGGAAGTTTTTAGGCTTGATTTCAGCTGCTGCCTGGATCTGGATCCCCACCTCCACCTCTCATCCTCCTCCTCCACCTCTTCTTTTTCTATATTCTCCTCAGTGTTCAACGTGACCCAAATGTCATGAGAATTAATTAAAAAAACAGGCAGGAGAGATCTTTCTTTTTATTCCTCCCTGTTCGTTTCTGCAGCCTCGAGGACAGAGAAGAACAGAACTTAAGCTCAATCATGTGTGTGCATTAAATAAACAAGGAGTTGATATAAAAGAAGACATTTTGAGTCACAAAGCAGCACATGACTGGATCCGTTTCAGCCAGCAAGACTGAGAACTGGTCTATCCATAAAACATAGTGGATTACAATCTGAGGAGCTGCTGCAGCAACAGATGCTCACACACAAACCTTAAATCTCATACATAAAGTTGAAGCACGCACCATCACCAAAGAAGCATAAACATGCGACTCCTTTCCCGGGAGATAACAAGCTGCACATTTAAACATTTCAGATTTAGAGAAGAGGTTTGTCGGCAGAATTTTAAAGACAGGGAGTCAGAGAGCGTGGACAGGCAGATTTACTGTCAGATCCATCGAAAAGCACATCACAGCTGCTTGCATTTATTCATTTGATGGTGTTTTACACATACATAAAGTCAGACGTGGTGATTTATCGCACAGTAAAGGCATAAACGGGACGAATGTCTCAAAAAAGCTAAATGATCCTGTGTGATTTGTGTGCTCTGACTAATGCTGCCTCTCCGGTTCAGTTTGAGCTCATGTGTTAATATGCAAAGAGATGCAGACAGACTCAAAATCACCCTCTGTTGCTCTTGTTTTTCAGGAATTTACTGTGGACTAAGAGTGACTATTCTCTGCTTCGTAGATCATAACCAGCAATTCCCTCTCTAAATAGCCAATGCACCATTTTCAGGCCCAGCAGGGTCTGCACACATCGAGGTAGAAGACAGATGTAACAAATGCACAAACTGCAATACCTAAAGTAGGGTGACCATATTCTGAATCCTTAAAAAGAGGACATGGCTACGCGAGGGCGGGGTCACAGAGACATGCATAGTAAATTTTGAGAGTTTTTCGGGTCGGATTGAGTGTTTTTTATGTGCTTCTAACTTAGTAAGTCCATGCGACAGAACTCAAAACTTCCACACAAAACCCCGGACATTTGAAGGGTTTTATAAACTCCTCCAAACAAAGCTGGACAAGGCCGGACAGCCCCCCAAAAAGAGGACATGTCCAGGGTAAAAGAGGACGTACGCTCACTCTACCTAAAGAGTGTTAGATAAGAGGAGGCAGCATAAGGAAATAAACATTTTGATTGGTAATAACTTGATTTCTTATAATGCAATTGTTTTTGCAGTCAACTGTTATCTCTGAGTGACCCACAGTAAGAGATCCATCACAGTGGTTCTGCCAGAGAAGATGTTATTTCTTTGAGTCTCTGCTGACATTGTGGGTGAAAAACATGGGTTAGGCAAAACTTAGTCTTGTTATGATTTGTTCTGTTTATTTAGTGTTCTCCTGGTTTTATTTGAGTGTATTTTCTTTGTGAATGTCCCCAGTGTTTCTGTTCCTCTGTAGTCCAGTCTTGTGAGTTTTCAGTTTGTGTTTGATTCTGTTTCCCTCCTGTTCTCTGTGTTTTATTCTTTAGATCAGTTTTCAGTGTTTCCTGTTTTATTTTGTAGTAGTTGATTCCTTGTGTTTCTAGTCTGGTTTTACTTTCTTAGTTTTCCCTCCTTCGTTAATCACTAATGAGTTTCACCTGTGTCTCGTTAGCCTCACCTGTTGCTCGTTTACCAGTGTTTATATAGTCCCTGTCTTCCCATCTGTCCTTGTTGGTTCATTGTATGTTTGTCAGTGTGTGTGAATGCATGTGATTTTGCCATGGTGATTTTTTGTGGATTTTTTCCTTGTTGTTTCTTTTTATTTCGTTCTTTTTAAATAAATCCTTTTTTTGTTTTGCATTTTGGGTCCTTTTCCTTTCCTCCTGACTGTGACGCGAAGTTGGTGGCCACCGTATTGGAAATGAAGACCAATTTAAATTAGAGTTTATGAGGACCCTTAAAATTTTTTACGATACTTTCTGTCATCTGAAAGCCTTAAAGACTGTGTGCCAACAACTGTGCCTGACTTCAGCAAAACTCTCATGGTTATACTTCAGCTTTGGAAATTTATCTTTGACTTTAAAGTCACATGAAAAGTAATGTTATGTTGACACAGCATGAATAAGAAACCAGTAAAGAGGCGGAGCTGAGGCCAGATAAAAAGACAATACACCCTCTTGTTAGTCAAAATAGCTGCGTTCCATATTATACATTGCCAATATGCCTTTTTATTAACTATGATTTAAATGCATCTCATTATGTTTCAGTACTTTTCAGTTATTATCCTCTGTCATTTTAGTATTAAGGTTTAGAGCTTATTTCAAAAGTTCAGTCTGATCCTAAATTCAGCTTTATTTCCCTAAAGCATAATAATCTCCGAGAATAATTATGATTATTTCTCCCACATGTCTTCCATTAGTAAGGAGATAACACTTACATACCTATTAAAAGTGTTACATCTCTTCAGTTTGAGTTTACACCCACATACACAGGTCTACCTACACAGGAGCTCCTAATATTCATATCATTTATGTAACAGAGGTTTGTACCAAACTGAGTCAAAGTTTAGCTTTATGACTAAAATAACTGTTCTGCATATTGAGATATTACTTCTCTCCTGCTCTTGCACTCTCTTTCGATTACTCTGTGTAACATGCAAATTGAGTTCAGTACCTAAATTCAAAACCTAAAAGCTTTATATTTTTGGACGTATCAAAATTCATTTGTCGATACTCATCATGCAGAAGATCTCTTTTGCAGGACTGAAGAGAAAAAAAGGAAATTAGAGACTTACAAAACAAGCGGATTATGTGATTGGGTTTCATTTGAATTTTGGCCGAACCTCATCGTGTAAGAGCCAAAAGTCTTGTGCAACAAAGCAGAAGAAATGAATGAGAAAAACAAACTTTTACAGGGATAATCCCATCAGTAACCTGTGAGGTCTGTATTATTAAGAATTCTAAGGCTTTTCCTCATCTGATCCCTTCTTTTTCTCTCCCTTCTGACTTTGCACAAACTGTCCCGCTGCCTGGAAGTGGTCCACAAGCCAGAGGTTGGGGACCGCTGACCCACGGCTCAGAATCATACAGAACTAACAAGCCACACTGATGCTGTACGTCAGCGTTTGGAGGCACACATGACTCCTGTAATGAAGAGGACAGAGCAGCGATAATTAAAGCGGCAATGACCTTTGACCCTATTACATCCTGGCCTCGGGGGCTTGGAGCCCACAGGCTGATGACATCACCAGGACGCATGTGATCATGAGGGTGATCCCAGATCAGGTCACTGGTAACGAGGTGGTGATGCAGGAGATTAGAAAATTATGATAATCCAAACCGCCTCCAACAATGATGCGTCTACTCCGATGTATTTCTGTGATATTCAATAACAGAGAAAGTCGACATATGAACAACCCGCACTGGTGTTATTGGTTTGACCTGAAACGTATAATTGCCCCGGGTCACCAGAGATATGACCAGAGAATGCACCATAACAAACCAACTGGGTGTCATGGAAAGTTTCACGACCCCAAAGGTGGCCGGGGTCTCCTCGTGTGTTCGCAGTAAATCAACATATGTGTTTTTCCAATTAAAGATGGACGTATGCTTTAAAGATTTCTCTAGTATGGGGGAGGGGGACGTGCGAGAGGGTGATAATACCAGGAAAAAAAAACACATTTAACATTGTGTTGAAATACACTGATGCTTGTCAGATGTTTAGTGTCTCAACAACAGCAAAGAGGTCACGCTCAAGTGCTGCTCATGAGTGACGTTAAAGTCTGACGCAGCTGTTCAGATTGAGGATATGATGCAAAAGATCTGATCTGTATCTGATTTAGGACAATAACATGTTTTAAACATTTTCCCATGTCTCAATAAATTCCCTCCCTTTTCAGTAGTACTCTGATTTTACTTTTATTTCTCTTTCTCTTTTATCTGTCCTCTATCCACCATCTTCTTTTTCACCTTCCTGATGTGATGCTGTCAACCAACAATTTTTAACTGTCCTTTTTTTTTTAACTGTCCATTTTTCTTTAACGGTCCACTTTTTTTTTACTGTCCATCATTTTACCGTCCATTTTACCGTCAACTGTCAATTTTTTAACTGTTTTTTTAAACTGTCCAATTTTTTAACTGTCCTTACTTTAACTGTTTTTTTTTAAATGTCCATTTTTTTAACTGTCCTTTTTTTACTGTTCATTTTTTAACCGGACAATTTTTTTAAACTGACCATTTTTTCAACTGTCCATTTTTTTTTAACTGGTCTTATTTTAACTGTTTTTTTTAAACTATCCATTTTTTTCAAATGTCCATTTTTTTAATGGTTTAATCCTCTCTTTGTCTGTTTCTGCCTTTGTTTGCTTCTTTTGTTAAATCACTTTGTAAACATCTGGTTTCAAAGGTGCTATATAAATAAAAGGTATATTATTGGTCTGAATCTGATTTAAAAAGTTCAGATTCTGTGTGATTTGGGCTCTGCAAACGTTTTAATTGTACGTTTCATATAATCAAAAGTCAATAGCTGATCGTTACACTGATTCACTGCCTTTTCCTGTGTCCTACTGTAGGATTCCACTTGTTGATATCTCAGTGCCGAAAAACAATCTTAGTACTCCTAAACTGTACTCCGAGTCGAGGACAGAAAAACCATCACAGCTGGTCAACAGTCTCAACACGGAGCAATATTTACTCCCAACAATCTAAATAACAGCAAATCTCAACAACATTCACTTGGTGGGATTGCCTGAAGGCTCCCGCGGGACCCCAGATCCCCCTTGTGACACCCATGTATAATGTATTGGCCAAAACACGATGAATAAGTCAAGAGATAAATGAATAATTAGAGTTTATTTTTCATTTCTGTTTTTAGAGTGACCTGGTTGTTAGTGCATCCTTTATCCTGGCCGAGGAGGAAACTGCTGAGAGCGGCAGAAAGAGAGAGGGAGAGAGAGAGAGAGAGAGAGAGAGAGAGAGAGAGAGAGAGAGAGAGAGAGAGAGAGAGAGAGAGAGAGAGAGAGAGAGAGAGAGAGAGAGAGAGAGAGAGAGAGAGAGAGAGAGAGAGAGAGAGAGAGAGAGAGAGAGAGAGAGAGGACGGTTGAATCCATCTCTCAGTACTATCCCTCCCTCCGGGCATTTTCCTGCTGGCAGCAGATATGTGAAGGCTGCAGCATTTTAAAACCTCCACCATGCCAATGAACCCTGTGAGTGTGTGCTGTCTTTTATTTATGATGTGAGTGTGTCTGTGTGTGTGTGCATATTAATATATAGTACATAGACTTTATGCACAGTGTGTGTGCAGATATGTTTCACCCCTTTATTTGCACAGCTATGAGAGAAGCTTACAAGTGTGCATGTGTTATACGTGTCTTCGTGTGTGTTGGACTTTGTTAGCATGCACTCTTGTCTACGTGTGTGTGTGTGTGTGTTAAGTGTGTAGGAGTGTGTGTGTGTGTATGACTCACCGTTCTCTCCAGATGCTTCACAGCCGTCTTCATCATCACAGTCGTCCCCGCTGCCTCTCTCTGTCTCTGCGCTCCCGCCCTCCTCTTCCTCTCCTTTCGCTCTGGCTTTGGTGGCCCAGCCGAGCTCCACTAACAGCTCCTAAACAAAAACACAAACACACAAACACACACACACAGATGTCTATTAGCTCTGCACTCATGCTTCAAAAACAGACATCAAAAACTCTTTTCAACTCTCCTTTCATTGGTTTCAGAGAAGTGTCCATGACTTTTCTGCGGATTGATAGATGCCAGAAACTCTGGGAGTGATTTTCATTAAGTACATACAGACATTTAAGATCAGCAGGGGATAGACCTTGAAGACTAAAGGGTTTGCATGTTGTTTATACTGGAATGTCATTACAATGGGCTGTCAGCTGCAACAACAAAGGTATCAATGTTACAGATAACTTGATAAATATCATGAATTGATCCATTGTGCACATGTTGAAAACAGCCACAGGTCAGACCTAAACTCACCCAAAATCTAAAGCTTTCAAAATAAGACGTTTCAGTTTTCATTCAAAAATATGAGGGACTGAAAATGAACATGGACTGGAAAATATTGTGTGTTTGTGAACATGTGTGGGTGAACAAAAAGTGGTCTCAGTGTTGCAAATGTCTCAGTGAAAGACCTCTTGAAAGTAGTCCATCTAATACAGAGTGCCTGGACAGATCTCTGTTAAAGCTTGAACTTTTACACATCAAACATGTTGCTCTGCTTTTGCCCCCGATAACAGTAAGATCTTTGAAAGCAAAACGCACGATTCATGATGTCTCTTGCAGGTGAACTCTGCAGCCCTCTCTTAAAACATGTCAAACAGCAGACAGCATGGTCAAAGGACTTCAACGTACTTTTGATCCACAATTCGGCTCCATATTCAGCTTTAGAGTAGAGCTGGTGTACAAAAGAGTGCTTCAGTCTGTCTTCAGTAGATGGCCATGACTTAATACAGTCTGTTTGACTTGATTTCGTATCCAGGAGTCTCCCTTTGTAAGCTATTAAGACCTGATGTAGCTGCTAACCAAGCCAAGAGCCTTTTATCCAAACTGTTAAACTGAGAGCAAAGGAGAATACAAACAAGTAACAGTAATAATGAGGTCGAAGCCAAACTGTTTATCATCGTAATTGTCTGACTGGTGAAAGATGATAAAAGACAAGTGCTACATAGAGTTCAAATGGGATGTTTTCACATAAGCACACATGAAAAAATGAACACACACACATATACAAACACAAACACACACAGGTCAGGGAGCAGGCTAAAGGGTAATTGAGTTCACGCCGTCTCTGCATGATCCATATTTCCTCTTCTGCTCAGTGAGTCACAGCGCGGATACTATCACATGTTATATAACGGTGATGCTAACTGAAAACCTCATGCTGCCTTTTTCTTTAAACTGTCAAGTGACTGAAAAAACAACATCAGTTTACTTTTCAAGCCATATGTTCAGTTTGGCTGCAGAGTTTTCTAAACTCATGCAGGACAACACAAAGTTTCCAGCCAAGCAACACACTCTAAAAATGGTACTGTAAGTTTCCACATATATATACGCAGCGACAGGATCTTATAATTGGCTCGCAGTATGATGAATGTGTGTTGCAAAGGGTCAATGTGAGTTCTATATGAATTCAAGCTCAAAACAATGATAAGGAAAAGGACTACTACTTTTTAAAAGGAAAACACATACTGTGCAGACTTATTAAGATAACAGAGTTATATTTTTAAAACAGCTGATTTCACCACAATTCTAACATCCATCTTAATGATTTATATCGCCTCAAACAGGCGAGATCTGTCCGCTAAATTAAGTACAACAGAGGCCACAGCGGAGAGTAAACTGCTCCAGGTTTTCTCAATAAGAAGTTCATTTGTTACGACAATTCTTGGTTTATGTGCAGGATGGAAAAAATCAAATATATAAAATAAGCTTAAAATACCTGCTTTAAATATATGATTAATCCAATACAAAAACTCTATTCTTTCCAATTTCTTCGTTACACTGTGTTAAATTAAGTTGTGTTTTATTTCAAAGGTTTTTTTAACTGAGTCCTATTTCATTATGCCTCCTTTGTGCTCCTGCTGCAAAACTAATTTCCTCCCTGTGAGACAATAAACATAATCTGAATCTGAAATCGGAATTCAAGTTTTATATTAAGCTCTGGAAAATTCTGCCTCCACATGCTCAACCATCTCCATCACTGCCTGCTTTTAAATCCAACTACAACAAAAAAAAATAAAAATGATTTCACTCTTTGGCTCCTGCTTCAGCATGAGAGATGGCTCTGATCTTTTCTTTTTGGGAGGGTCTCAACACTTTTACTAATTTAATCTTGTTTTTTTAATATTGTGCAGCAGATTTGGAGGGTAAATTTATCGAATTCCATTTTGATAATGCAAACTTATACTCTAATTAAAATGTTACAGGTACAGTGAGTAGAAATATGAATGTTTCACATTATCTCGTGACCAGACTCTAGGTTTGAAATGCTCCCTGAATCATCCCTCTCATTGGTAAAGCAGCCGTGGCCTTCAAGGGCAACTATAGCTTCAGTGATGCATGAGAGGTATGATCCTCCATTTGTCAAGTTCTGACCTTAAAACACGGCTTCCAAGATGAATTCTTTCATTCACGTGACTATAACTTGTTTAACTTGTATGATATAAGCTGAATATTTAAATGTATTTCACTGTCAGACGTTTTGAACGTCTTTGTTATAAATAAAAATTAGCGATGCTGTCTTCCTCAGCAGGTTATAGAAGCAGGTTAGGCACATACGGTGGGACATCTGGCCTCCCCTGTACAGTAGGCCATCATGGAAACAAGGGGAACCAAGGTTATTATGTGACAGCATGTCCGAGGGGACACAGAGAAAGACTCGACTCTGTGTGTGGTGATTCACCATCATGTCATCTGACTGCAAATGAGGGCTGAAGGAAGACAAAAATACATTATAGCTATGTTTCTTCCAGGACTGTGTTTTCCTGGTCAGGAGGAGAGGGAGGAGAGGGAGGAATAGAAACTGAATTTGGGTCAAGGAGCAAACTTAACAATTCAACAGTGAAACCAACAGGCTACAGAGTGAAATTATTCTAGGGGTGCAGTCAATTCAACAACTATTTTTTACATTTAATAAAGTATAAAAAAAATATGTGCAGCCAATCTAGACCAACTATCTGTTTACAGATTGACCAGTACATTAAAAAAAATATATATGGATGGTTAAAATTGCAGGAAATATTTGCAATCTTTCACGTTAAAACAAAATTTAGTTTAGACAGGGTTCACTCAGATTCCTACCTAGGGGTGATTTGTCATCGTTAGGAGAGTTGCATAACTAGGGGCACCGCTGACTCATCTGAAAGGCTGTAGGCCTACTTACACACATCCAAAATTAACTTATATTTATTTATTTTTTGACACTGAATATACCGATATAGGAAGAATGACGTCGGTTACTGTCATGAATTTCAGTATCGATAAATTTTCAGTTTATCGCCCAGCCCTAGTGGATTGTAACCAGTTCTTCCTGCCTGCTATTTGCCTCGATTTTTCTCCCCTAAGTCACCTCTGACCATGAGAAATTTTGCAACATTTGGTTTTTTAAAATCGCAACTCTGGAATCTTAAATTAGTCAAGATTTTTAAAAAAAATTACAGCAGGCCACACTTGCATGTTACCTGTTCGTCAGCTTCCTTAAATAGTCAGGTGCAAATATGACTTGACCCCCCAAAAATTCTAACAAAAGGTTTCTCAGCTGTTTTTTATATTATTACATGTCCTTGATAACATTACCAAAGTTTGACCATCAGAAAGGTGTCTTTTTCGAGATGGCGTCCATGATGGGTAGAAAGCCCAGGGAGACACCTTAAGTGAATAGGATAAAGATTTTAACTAACAGATACCACCACGAAACTTCCTACGTTTATAACCGACATTAAGACAAATATTTTTTATATTACAAGTTTTGTCATATGTTATGTATGAATTTATAAATGAGGTAATATCTAATTAAATATGCACTAATTTGCATACATTTCCAGAACCCAAAACTGAACAATGGATAACGCCCCTTTCAAAATTCTTGTTTTATTTTGTTGACACACTAGATTAAGAAAGGGGGGAGAAGCAGACTTTGGATATCTCCTTTTATCACTCTGTAAATGAGAAAATACTGTCACCGCCCCCTAAAATTCAAATGTCGTTTCATATATGCACCCGCCTGGGATCCAAGATATAAAACCGAAACACTTGATATGTGTTGTCTAAGTTATCAAAATTCTGTTATATATAAAAGTATGACCTGATCTCTCTCCTGATTTTCACCTTTTTTTTGGATCCCTGAACTGCCAGCTAGCGGTGAAATGTGGGGGAATAACTAACCTCCGCCCCCCTCCCCCCACCGTTTGTTAGGATGCCGACACATGGCTGACTAGGCTCATCCTGATTGGCTGATTTGTTCATATCAATTCTGTCTGTGAGGATGATAGAATGGCTTTACTAATGTAATCCTAATACACAGAAAAGCCTGTGTGGAGGTCTAATTAAAACATAAACGACCACAAAATGAAGACGTTAAAGACAGACAGAAAAGACCACGACATGACTGATGAAATAATTAAAATTCAAAGGATGCTTCTTTGTCCCGCTTCACGTTTTCTTCTTCTTTTCACACGGACCATGTTAGCGTGTAAATGGCATATGTGACAGGCGTGAATAATTATCGTTACATGGTGTGCATTAATGCGTGCGCCTCGGATAAAAACACTGAGGCAGCTAACATGAAATAAGTGCAGGCTGTGCTGATGAGCTTTTCTGTTGTGGTCTTCTGGTACTTAACACAATCCATTTAGAGTTTATTATGCACGTATTACAACCACAATAACATCGATCTGACTGTCCCTGTCCTCACAGTGTTGTAGTGTATGTCTGCGTTCATGCTAGAAGATTCACAGAAGATGCAGCGGTCTTTAAATCAAACGCTAACAGGACGCGTATAGCGGTTACATAAAATTAATAGGGCTGAAAAAGTAGGTCTCAGACATTAAAGATTACATGGAGCGTGTGGAGTGTGTGTTTGTGGACACAGTGGGGGTGGGGATGCTGACTTGGCATGTCCTCTATGTAAATGCAACATGATTAATGGACTCAACACCCAAATTGGACAGAGAGGAGAAAAAGCCTCAGCAGCACAAAGGGAAAAATAAACCTTTACATGTCCCGTATGGTAGTGATTTTCTATAAACACTCACAAAGTAATATAAACGTGATTATTCAGGCTGTCAACAAACTAGAAATTTAGTATTAATATGATGATTTCTGCCTAAGTAAGATCTCGAATGTTCATTTCGTTCAGACAGAAAGATTGATTTTCTGATAATACGCCCTGATTTGAATGTTTAATTAGTCTCCACGGGTTTGATTTGCACTAATCAGCAAAAAGAAGTGACGGTATCTGTCAAAACTTTTATTTTTTGTTTTGTTTTGCTGTCAATTTGTAAAAGTAGACTCAAGCTAAAATCATCATTAAAGTATCACCCAGTTCATATCACTGCCAACTAACATTTAGAAATATTTCCATCAGGAGACTAGAGATAATAACAGACATCTCAAACGAACAGCTATATTGAAGAAATGAGGAGAGCTAGTGTGCTGCGAATCTGCATGTCTAGATAATGGTGAAACATAAAAATATTAAAACTCCTGCGACAATTTCTCAGTTTGTGCCTCCTGTGATAAAGTGGTACCAATAATCTCTTTGCTGGTGCTTTTTTCAGAGGAGAAATCTCCTTCCGCTCTATTTTTGAAGTCAACTGCACAGCTCACTGTGAATGTTTAATAAGGACAAGGTTGACAGAGGTCGTTTCTGAAGCGTGGTGCGGCTCACATCATCCGTCTGCTCCGTGGTTAAAACTACTTTTATGATCAGATCTGACTCTGATAGTCTCATTAGCTCTTGCAGGTCAGATTGAATCATCAATATCAGTATCAGTCTGTCTCATAAGAGGCTTAAAACCTCCTCATAGAAGCCTTATTAAAGAGTTTTGCAAAGCAGGGTTTTAACTTCTATTTCAAAACAACAGGACAGACGCAAAACCAACCAAAGTGATGATATGTGAGATGTTACTACAGGTCAATAGGTCTGGAAATAGTTCAGAAGTATCATTCATGTGACCTTTATTTCAAAGAACTGTACTCCTGATATTATGGGACCTCAAAGTAGGTATCCCAAGTTCAGTTCCAACTCCGATCCTTTTCCATGTGTCGTTTCCTTCTTTCTATACCAAAAGCTGTTTAACCAGGATGGGTCAAATACTTGATTCTGATTGGTCAAAACCACACAACAATGGTGATTCATTTTTAAAAAGCAACACCAGCAACTTTATCACACTACTCAGGCTGTCATCAACCAAAGAAATTCTTGGTCGACTAAAACCCTGAAATTTTTGACCAAACATCAACTAATCGATTCTGGCGAGCGTGGCTAGGCGAGGTGAAAATACTGATATCAGCACAAGAAGGCAATTAAACACAAAAGGCTAAAATATAAAAATTCGGCAAACCACCGGACGTTGATTAACGTGGACGCTCTTCAATCTTCCTGTCTCCGCCCAGTCTCCAGTGAGTTGGCCGAATCCAAAATGGTGAAAACAATGGGGGTGTTCTGAGACAAGCTGTTACCTTTGAAACAGGGGTTCTCTGAAAACACCCCAATTAGCACTTGGTATAGACTATAAATAGACTATAAATTGACGCGGAAAAAATCGAGTCGACCAATCAGAATTTTGGTTGACTCAGTAAGTCAACCAGAAGACTAGGACTTTACAGCCCTACATTCTACCCATATTGAATCAGTCTGTCACTTTCCACTGCTGCCTGTTGACACTGTGGCGAAAACCTTGATGAGAATAGGTAAACAGGCTACTGTTTAGACTTGACTATACATTGAAATATTTAGTTTTACATAGTTACACTGATTAAGCAGGCTAATGTTACCAAATACCAATTTCCAACTTTAAAACTACATTGTGAATTGTATTGTATGTTCACATGATGCACCATGATTGATTGAAAGGATGTTTTTGGTTGTTTTTGCAAACTAAAACCCTCTCATGCTGAGCAAGAACAAAACTTCTTCACTAACATGTAACTCCACTCCTGTTTGGTAAACCATGAGACTGGCCTAACCAGGAAAATCAATGATGTGAAACAGAAACATCTGACTTAGATAAAACCTGAACTCCAGACTTCTCTAGTTCCCAGGCTGAGAGTTATGAAACACAGAGTACTGGTGAAGTTATCCCTCAGTAACTGAAACTCTGTATATTCATCTTGTTGTTTGGTTTCCCCGTCTGTTTAGTCTTTCTATCACTTTGTGTTTTGTCGTCTGGTCTCCTTTTCATCATCTGTCATCCTCTCTGGTGAGTATCCGTACACAGCCAAAAACAATGAATCATCGTTATGAGTAATCTTGATGCATAACTTTATGGGATCATATTTTGTATGGTTTTTATGAGTCATCCATGCAAATCATATCAGCATAACACCATGCTGTCTGGAGCTTTGAAAACACCTCATAAATCAAGTTTAATTGCTGGATCGTTTAATTTATTAACGCATGTTATTATCGACATCCTTTCTGGAGTGCTGACATTTAAGTTTATTGGATTAAAGAGCGCTTCACACGCGGTGATAACACATGATTGAGAGCCAAATGAAGATGAGGACGCACACGTACGCACACACACCCGGTCCCTGCACACTTTCATCCCTCTTTGAAGCAACACCAAAAGGTTGAACTTAATTTTTCACCGTAAAGATCAAACCAACAACTGCATTATTATTTAAGTATGGATATGAATAATTCCATCCATTAGAGGCAGGTAGCAGCTTTACCACAGAATGCTAACCACCATGATACATCAGGGTGTCACCGCCAAGGTGAAAGCAGGATACATTAAACCTCAGTGGCAGCTACAAAAACACCCACTGATCATTTTGTCTATCATAACTTTTTCTACATTCACATCAACACACAGGTTCGGCGAAATTAGAGGCGACTGCACCTGCTGCAGAACAGAATTTATTCACTCATTAAATCTTGTTTGTCCTTATTTGAAAATATGCAAAAGCAAAGAGAAAGTATGTTGAGTTTCAGCTGCGCACATAGAGAAAGTATAACTGGAGGTTTTTACCACCCTTTAACACACAAACTGATATACTGTAAAAAAATAAAAACTGAAACAATGTCAAAAAAAGACAGTTTAGTAACATTAAAGGTGAGGTAGGCAGGAATCTGTTAAAGAAGCATCTTTTTTGTGGTGTATAAACAAAAAAGCTTTTAATATCAGTCAATAGCTATTAATCATTGATGACAATTGGTAATATAACGATATTGCAGAGTTTTGTTATGTCTGTGTGACCCGCTCTTTCTGACTGTAAACAAAGCCATTCTCCGCCTCCCCCCATCCTGATTGGTTGTGAGGCAGATGCTGCTCCTCGTGTCATCCAGGAGCCCAGACAAAATTAGCGTGCTATAATATCGGACAGTAGAAACCGTTATGATTTTTAATGCCGATATGTCAAAGCTCCGCTACCGTTATGTGCCTTCTGCTGTGCAATGTGCTCTGAGCATCCAAAGCGCAGGTAGTTGTGGGGCAAAACAATGTCGCAAAAAAGGACGTATCCTTCAAGAGCAGAGGAAAGAAAGAGGAAGAAAAGAAAAATGCCAAGATGAAGGCATGTTTGCATGTCATGGAATACTAATCAAAGAGATTTGTTAAGGTGTGTAAGTGATCAACAATCAATATTATTAGTAGAAATAGAGGGCCCCAAAATCAAATTTTGCTTAGGGCCCCATTGAGGCTAAAGGTTTCTTTTTTTGCTCCATGTTAGTTTTGCTACGTCCATTATTTTAGCATACTGGCTGCATTTTATTGAATTTACTTTAAACAACACCTAATTTAAGGCCTATTTTAATCCATCTATTTTAACAGTGAAGAAATCCAGACTGATTCCTGTTTTGTCTAAGTGAAGTACTGAATTTGTACAACTTGACCTGATTGTTATGTGGTGCTGAAATAAGACACTCGGGTCATGAAAACAAGGATCATCAGTGCAGAAATGGCAACAACAGACCTGCTAATTTATTCATTATAACAAATTTAGGCCTGGCTTTTAGTGTTAAAAATAAACTATGAAGATAAACTTCTAAATCTCACAGAGAGTAACCTGATCTGATTAGAATATGAAATTCTGAGACATTTATTTTCCTTATTGGAGTGATCTGGAGTGCCTACCTGTGTGAGCTGCTCCAGCCTCTGTTTGGCCCCCTTCAGGACAGGATCTGTATTACGAACGGACATCTCCGGGTTCTCCTTCTGGGCTTTTAAAGTGCTGCCAACCACTCGACCTGCATAACTACAAAGAGAGACAGAAGAAGACACTGACACAGAGCACTTTATGTCCCAGATCTGAGAGTGTACATGTGTGTGTTGGTGTCTTGCCCCAGTTTCCCCCCACAGTCCCTACACTGCTGTGGTGTTTTAGCCCTGGGTGTATGATTCACTACATGTGCAGGGGGCAGATAAATGCATGCACACGGACATACACATGAGAAATGCTTTCACTTTTGGCAAAAAAAGAAAGAAAAGAAACAGAGAGAGTTCATTTCAAAACTGAGGAGTCACTTGAGATGTTCGGCTTTTGTGCCACGAGTTCATTTTCAGGCCAATCGATGTTTATTCTAAAACCCTAATGCTGTTTTCAGGCTCCAAGTATCTTCTGCAGATAGTTTTTTAAATGTTTATTCTGTTGCTAGGTCCTCTTTCTGGATATGTTTTCTTTTCTTTTCACAAACTGATAGTAACTTTTTTACTGCACATGCACAGAAAGTATTAAACTCGACTGGTTTGAATTAGGAGAAAAAAAATGGTCACGGCGGCCTGCATCTGGAGTACGAAAGTCATCACCGAGTTTGATCTCTGATCATCTTGCAAAATGATGTTTCTTTTTGTGGCTGGCTGCGATAAAGTCTCACATCATTTTTGTCAGTGCGGGGGGATGCAGTGGGTGGATCAAACGGGAGATGAGGCGAGAGAAAAGCAGAGGAGAAGAAACAGCGGATCGTGACTCATATTTTTCCCCAAGTCTTCAAGTTCCAAACCAGCTTTTCGAGCTAATACAATCAGCCGTCGAGTCGGTAACCGCTCAGTCCACACCCTGAACTGCACAAACACTCTCCGGTTATGGCAACAAGATTGTGGGAACCGGAGAAAATACACATGGTGGAAGTCGCAGAATTGAAAAAAAATCGACTTGTCTGATGCCAGGAGACGGTTTAGTGCTGAAGACCCCAACGTCTGGAGCCGTGCTAAACCCCGCTGGTTTGGAAACAGATAAGTCTGATACATGAAGTCTGTCATTAAGTGTCTCTAATCTTTGTCTTCTCACACAGATTGTTTTCATAAATTCAAAAAAATCCCCTCCTGGTAATTCAAGGTCTCGTTCAAGTGAAATCGTTCATGACTTGGAGGCCTGGCTCACACGCCGTCTGCTTCTTTTTGGCTTTATTAATCCTGACATTGAGGATCGATAATAGCTGGTCTCACAGAAGTGCTTATGTACGAGCTGTCTCTGTGAGAAATGCTTTCCAATCCAGCTTTGAGCAAATTCACATCAGATATGCATCCAGTCGGGTATGACATTTGCAGATGAAAAGCTGTACGCTCAATTTGAGAGGAGATGTGACTCCAGATTCTTGTGGGAAAATTAGATCATTAAGGAAGAGGAGGATGAGCTGATGAAGACTGCAGCTCTATAATAATGATACACATCATGAGAAAATGAACGTGAAAAGTAAATAAACAAAAAGATTATACTGCTGACACTGTCAACATACTCAGAGTGAGTATGGGGGAAATAATTACTCTCTTGTGTTTTATGATGAGTTGCATTCTGTTGTATCTGCTGCCAATGCAGAACGGATTACTGAAGGAGAACTGCGCTGTCAACAATTAGACTTAATGGCTTCAGCAAAAGAGCCGAGGGTCACTGAGAGTGTGACACTACACGCATTAATCTGTCAGAGCTACTTTGCAAAAACTATTCAAACATTTTAACGAGATTTACGGTTAGAGGGGTCGTCCTATGTGCAGATGTTAAAATCTGCTGCAGGTTTGAGAGTGATAGGGGAATGAAAATGTGGATGTGAAGACAGAAAAAGATGACACTGACGGTGCTGATAGATAGGAGGAGATGGTGTGAGAAAGGGGGGAAGTGAGAAAGAGGAGTAGAGGTAGATGTAAAGATAGGAAAACACATACAGAGAGAAAGGTATATATAAAGAGTAATCAGGACTGAGAGGCAGAGATTGATGGATAGAGATAGAGAGAGGTAGAGATCTTTAAAGATAGACAAAAACATCAGCCATGTTTACATGTGCAAAATTTCGTGATTTGAGGGATTGGATAATCTGAATCCACTGATAATATGGGTGCAAAATCAAATAATCCGATCATGACGTGCGTATACATGCACCGCGCTTTATTCAGATTGGAAACATTTGGAAAAAGGGCAGAGTTGTCTGATTTCACTAAAACAACCACAGAAGAAGAAGAGTTGTGTTTACGCCTGTGTTGTCAACAAACCAACAAATGCGGTAGTGGCTCATTACATCAAATTCAGGATTTTTCCCCCTTGTTAAATGTTGTCACTAGATGGCGCCCTTGCTTACTTATTTTACTGTCCTGTCAAAGGTTGTTCTGTGCGTGCAGATGTGACATCATTACGCTGTATGTACGCCCTGTTATGTAACCTGAGGAGCAGACACGGCACCAGAGTGTTAATAATGAAACCTCCTGTCCTGGCCAAAGGCGAAAGAGTGAAGATCAAGTCAGGTAAGAGAGTCACGATCGGAATAAGTGTTTACATTGACGCGTTTCGGAACAACGACCGGCATAAACCACCCCTCTCGATCGGAAAACCATTTCTTTGTGATTGAGCCGAATTGGATCAGAATCTTGTAATCGACATGTTGACATGACGCTTTATATTCCGACTGGGCATTTATTCTGATTATTTGCGCCCAGTGTAAGATGGGTAAACATACAGATGGAGATTAAGAAATGTACAGAGATAGAAATATGAAAAGGTAGATGTAGTAACAGAAAAAGATAAACAAAGAGAGGTAGAGAAAACTGTTGAGAGACAAGAACACAAAGTTAGACAGAATTAGAGAATAAGAGAGAGAGATCTAAAAGCTGTCAACACCTGTACTCTTCCAGAAGACCTGTGCATATTGTCTAATGTAACCATGTTAGTTCATGCTGCAGGAAGGAGGGTCATACTATCAACCATATCTGTTAGTGAATCACTTGTAAAACTATAAAATTGTCTATAAACCAACATTGGGTGTCAATATTTATAAGTCTTATCTGTAGCTGGTGCTTTGGGGTTCAGTCTAACTCTGGTCATTACCATGATTACCTATTCACTGAGCATAATAGTATTTTTTGAATAGATAAATACTCCATTGAACTCTTTATGTTTGTTTTTTGCATTGGTAACATGATCCAGTATAGAAGACACAAACTTAGAGCCTTATTTGGCTAATTTCAAAGATGTTAAACAACACTGTTCCAGTCTTATGTGGAGGTTTTTAATAAGCAAACTGTTTTATTTGAAGGGACTTTCTATTCGACTTCTACTTGACTTTGGATTAATTCACCCATGTGCAATGGGCTACATTAAAACCATCTACACATGTAACTACGGTGAAAGAATCTGACATGAGTGTGGCTCTTAAAATAACGTTGTATATTGGAAAGTTAATTTGTTAACTGCAGGGAGGTTTTCACATTTTCATACATATATTTGTCTTTGCGTGTCTCTGAAGAAAGTTACCCAAGCTGAACAAAGAAATACAAAGCCGTTTGTATGTACACAGAAAGCCCTCGCTCAGTTCAGACCCAGCTGACTCACCCGCTGACTTCAAGACATCGACCACATTATTTGATCTCTTTCTCTGTCATAACTTATGCATGGATTATTTCAAACACGATCAACTGTGATGCACCAGTGAGCAGCAAAAGATTGGAAAGTGCATCACATATCGACTCAGATGAGCCGGTATAGATAATGAGAACAGGATATGTTGCTACATGCATTGACTAATGCGTATCAGACTGAGTAAGAATCCGATATAAAGCAGGATATTGAACTTTGTACATGCATTAAGACAGAGTAGAAAAGGTTCTGCTGCTCCGCTTAATTGATTGATACAATAAAAAGCAGAAGAGAGATCTGAACGAGAGGAAAAAAGATGAGAAAATGTCAGTGAGGGAAAAGGGTGAGGAGGAAAAGATGAAAAAAAGCCCAATAAAAAACCACAAGAGCGCCCCAGGGGGAAATCCCAAGATTCCTCAGACTGCAGCAAAGATTTGGAGGATCAGGGTAACACCACAAATCTAATGAATTGGCTCCACACACCAGAGTGTCAACACCTCGCAAATATTCTGGTCTATTCACATTCCCTCTGAGCTGGAGTTGTGCGTTTCCATTATTAACAGCAAAGTTTAGAGTGACAGGCGATCGATTTGACCTTTGTTTGTTCCAGATTGGCTGAGAAGAGCTGCCTTTTACTGTTAACAGTAACACACACAGATCCAAACAACGAATGCAAATCATGAACACAAACACAAAAGCTAATTCACGGACGATACAGCAGAGTAATTTTGAGACAGGACATTTGTTTAATAAAACACGTATAATGATTATTGTCTCTGTAAGTAAAGAGAGACAAATCGACCTAATCATGAAAAATGCAGCGGTGAGAATCGTAATTATCTCCGGCGATGAATCTGACTGTTTAATTGTAAACTGAGTCTGTTGGGGCTAAAGGTGGAGGCAGCAGTACGTGTGTGGATTACATTCACATTATTAGAGAGTGGGAGGAAAAACACAGCCACACTACAAAGGTACATTTTTCATAGTCACAGACTGAAAGCATTAGTTTAATAAATCTATTCATAAATATTCATATTGTCTTTATCATTTGAATTAAAATATGAAACAAGAGTTTACTCTCAGAGCTACGGAAGTTAAAAAAAACTGTTTTTCAGAATAACTTTTTTTCTTTTTTCTTTTTCAGACTTTTTTTTTCAGACTAACTGTTTTCCTCTGAGATCATGACCATTTAAAAACAGACATTTTCATCCCCCTCTGTTCGATTTATTGGAAGCAAACATGGCCCACTTGTTCAGTTTAATCAAGTTTTGAGACACTGGGAGATACTCCTTACTTTAAGTCAGATATGGAATCATCATAAGTTTGTCCACTTTGCGCAAGCACCTCAGGATTTACATACCCTATGTTTAACTTGTAACATGCTTTGCCATCATTGACCCCTTAGTCGAAGTTATCCAAGAGCTGGAGAATCAGCTGATTTGGAGCAGCCACGGTGACTAACACTATCCTATTGTATGAGATTCTTGCAGCATTTTGAAGTATCTAGCCTAGTTAGGAGGGAAAAAATAGTCAGAAAAACAGAAAGACAAAAAAAAAAAATGCGAAAAACTGAATCAAAATTTGTGAGAAAAACAAAAATAAATATTAGTACAAAAAAAAAAAAACAAGAAAAAAATTGTCAGAAACACAGAAAGAAGAAAAATAATAGTCAGAAAAACAGAGAGAGACAAAAAAAAGTGAAAGACCGAATCAAAATTTGTCAGAAAAACAAAAAGAGGGGGAAAAATATTAGTACAAAAAAAGAAGAAAAAAAAAACAGAAGAAAAAAAATTGTCAGAAATACAGAAAGAAGAAGAAAAATCGCCCAAAAAACAGCAAAGAAAAAAAAAGTCAATGCAATATGCTTCCGTACAAAGCAGACTGATTGGAACTGCTCTGTAAGCAACGCCTTCAGCGATTATTGATTTCAATTTCTGGATAAGTGACAAGTTGGACAACTTGGGAATTGGACAGTTTCTTCATGGTCACTCCAGCATAATCTCGGGACAATCTCCATGACTGGAAAAGGTGCAACAGAAGGATCGATAATTACCGGGCTATACTCTGTAGTGATTTCTGCAGCTGAGAAAGAAGGAAGGATCTGTGCTGTTATATTCATAGCCTGGGGGGCTCACGCATAGTAAAACCGGTGAAAAGGTTAAAAGGTGACGCACAGTAAGAATACAACACCCTGCCAGCTGTAACTCAACACGTCTGTTCAAAGGTGAGCAGACATTATTCGCACTTTCCTATCTCACAGCCGTCAGATTTATTGAAGCAGGAGGTGAGAGGTAGGTGCTTCATTATTTTAATTCAGCTGCTTTTTAGTTCTATTCAGATAAATTCAAATGAACAAATTTAAGAAGACTGAGGCAAGAAATGTAGTGAAGCTCATACGCTCACTTACAGTACTTTTAATGATTTCTGTATGGGAAATAACTGGGATTGGTTTGTTTGATTTTCCATCAGGTAAGGATGAACAGCATGTAGCCTCACACTCAGCCTCTACCATCTTGTGTTGATTTTCAAGTCTGTTTTCATGCATCTTTGCAACAGACTGTATCTACTATGGACAACGTGGCTCCGCCTTCCATCATTATACAGATCTGAAGCCGAATTGCTCTCAATAATTTAAGACCTTTCAAATTTGTATTTAAGACATTTTATGAGGTTTTAAGAGGATTTTAGACATTTTAAGGTCTTACATTCAAATGGTTGGACTTAAGATGTTTTCAGACTTTTTAAGACGCAGCAGGAACCCTGGTTTAACGGTATGTGAAAGCCACAGTGGAAGACCAAACAGCAAAACAGCAATAATATACAAACTGTAATTACAACTCTGATCTTGTGATCGACCAGGTCACCCCTTCTATTCTCCTGACATACAGGCTTTTATTTTGAAATGACAGCTTCATGTTAGAAGGTCTGATTTTTTTCTGTTACCAGGAAATGACACATTTTACTTTGTATTTAAAAGGAGAAAAGGTATCAACACCATCTTGACACCTGAAACATCCTTCAAGTCCAATATCTGCTGTCCTGCTGGCTGCATTACAAACTGTCAGCACAGTGAATGAGCTATTGGTCAGATAACAAAGTGTGTGTGTGTGTGTGTGTGTGTGTGTGTGTGTGTGTGTGTGTGTGTGTATGTAGGTATCTCTGTCTGTTTGAGAGACACGGATGATAACAGTGCAGAAGAGTGTGTGTGCTTCAGACGACACAAAGAGGTGTGACTGTGAGTGACACTTAATAAGATCTGGAGAGCGACACACATAAATCACCAGCAGCGCCATAATGGCAAAGCTGCTCTGCTGTTGCCCTCGGTTACAGCATGGTTGTTAACAGTAACACACACAGGGACCTATTCTTCTGTCTCATCCCTGCAGCGAATGGTTAAATGCATCTGAGGTTGCACCCACACACACACACATACACATAAAGCACCCAGTAAAAATGAAATTACCTGAGATAGTGATCTGATCTGAGGGAGGTGTGTAATTATAAGAGTCACAACCTCAATTGTAAATCTAGCTGCATTCCTGTGGAGTCATTTACATAGCTCCATAACACACTCACACAATAGGACATTATACTGACACCTGGGGCTCATACCCGTTTCCCTTGCTCCAGATTTGGAAGTGATATGCTGTGGTTTGGATGGGTTCGAGTTAACCGCACTTTAAAAGTCTCAGGCTCTCTATTCTTCAGATTCTTTCCTCACCTCTTTTGGAAATGTCAGCAGAAGTGGATGATTTAAACAGGGATGAATACATTACAAAATACATCAAAACATCGGGTGTGGCAGGTCCTCTGTGGTGGAAGTGCGTCTATTGTCTCGTTACTTGAAAATGATTAGATGCTGCCCTCTATTGGAGAAAGTCAGCTATTGCAGATTTAAACGTCTGTGAACAGTCGAGTACAAATAAATGTAAGAACCATAACGTTTAGATCCAATCTGAATAATTACTCACAATTACCCAAGTTTTTCTTTCATGACATCCAAGAGAATCACAAACTCTATTCATGCTTTTGTATGAATTCTAGTGTCCTGTGGTCTGTCTGGACTTCGATTCATATATGAAATGCACTGAAGCCCATACTCTAGAGAAGGGGTTCCTGAACTTTCCAGCCTGTGGCCCCCAAAGTTCTAGTCCCAGAGACTGACTACACCTACTGAGATTGTTCAAAGTAACTCAAAGCTGCTTGGTAAACTAACAAGGCAATCCTCACATACATCATAACAACTCTGGCTTTGTTATTTGAGTGTATTTTCTTGATGATTTTCCCAGTGTTTCTGTTCCCTAGTATTTCTGTTCCTCTGTAGTCCAGTCTTGTGAGTTTTCAGTTTGTGTTTGACCGTGTTTCCCTCATGTTCTCTGTGTTTTATTCTTCAGATCAGTTTTCAGTGTTTCCAGTTTTATTTTGTAGTTGTTAATTCCTTGTGTTTCTGGTCTGGTTTTACTTCCCTAGTTTTTCCTCCTTCGTTGATCACTAACGAGTCTCACCTGTGTCTCGTTTGCCTCACCTGTTGCTCGTTTCTCAGTGTGTATATAGTCCCTGTCTTCTCCTCTGTCCTGGTTGGTTCATTGTATGTTTGTCGGTGTGTGAACGCCTGTGTCCCCAGTTGCTCCCTGTGATTTTTTTGTGGATTTTGCCCTTTTGGATTTTTCTCTTTTTGTTGCTTTTTTTTATTTCGTTCTTTTTAAATAAATCCTTCATTTGTTTTTCATTTTGGGTCCTTTCCCTGAACGTGACACTTATATGAAATACAAAATCTGATTAACAGCCCGTCACAAGAATCGAGAATGAAAATTCGCTTATTTGCTTGAAGATAAACAGATTAAGCTGTTTAAAACATTGTGTTTCGTAAGAAAAAAAGTTTATATTTTCACAAAACAACAACAAAACAAAAGTAGTGGTAAAAATCTACACAAACTTTAAATAATCTCATATTATGAAAGCATAAACCTTATATAGGAGCTCTTTTCACCTATGTAGGAGGCTGTTTTTAGTGGAAATCGTCCTAAATGCAGGTGACTGGATATTTTTGGGCTATTTACTGTAAAAAAATAAAAGAATATTTCCATTGTATTTATTCTTGGTTGATGATAGAATTAAAAATATACACATTTGGAAGGAGGGGATCCTGTAGTCAAAAAGGATTTTATTGACACTGCAAATTCTAAAAACAGTGAATGAATCTGTGAAGAACTGTTTGCACCACATTTAGTTTTATTTTGAAGATCTATGCAAATAACAGTTTGACTTTGAGTCCCACTCTCATCCCCCTCAGTGCTCCGCTCTGCTCTCTGTGTGCTTCATGTGAGTGTAGGTGGACATGGCGGATTGGTCAGGACTGATTGGAGGACAGGCTCCTGCCAACTGGGTCCTCCCTCGCTTCAGTTAATATCCGACCTGAGGCCTTCGCTTTGAGTTGGCAGCTAAAAGCAGTGTTTACTTTGGGTCTCTAAACAGTTCCGAGTTTTTCAGAGTTACTGTTTCGTGACGGATCCTGAGACTGAACACTCTGTTGTTCAGAATGATGATAGTTGTAAACTGTATTATTAGTCGAAGTTAATTAATAGAAAGCAGCACAAATAGACTGTTTTTAAGCGCTTATTACTTTAAAACCTCAAATTAAAAGTTTCTTTAGTTTTTAAGCAGACAATTATTTTTTCTTGGATAGTTTCAAGCGCACTCTGAGAATAAATAAAAACCCTTGAGGCGTCTATTTAAGATGCACTTAGGTATTTATGTCTTGCTGCCCATCTCTCTTTTTCTCACACACTCTCACCAACACAGACATTTGTAAGTGAAGTGGGTCAGAGGGCGGAGGAGATGAATGGAGGTCTGAATAGAAGGATGGAGAGATGAATGGATGGCTGGATTAATGAATGGGTGGGTGGATGGATAGATGCAAGAGAGAAGAAGATGTAAAGGGGTCAGAGAGGCACAGACTGGCTGAAATCCAACACGGGGCTGAGTGTAACGACTCTTGTGTAAAACTTTAGCCCAAAGTAAACTCCACAGATAATGACAGTCAGAGGATAAATCAGAGGATCAATTCTTCAGTCTAGAAAGTGTCTAAAAGAGAAGCTCTCGGGGATTTATGAGAGCCCAAAGTGACTTCCTCACATCGCTCCTTTTCACCAGCCAAATGTCAAAAACTCTGAAGACTCTTAATTCCATAAATGACAAAAAAAATCAGCAACGTTTCACTTCAGAAAGGCTGGAAACTCTGAAAATCGGATGAAAAGATTAGTGAAAAACGATTACGCAAGCACTAGGAGATCAGTTGTTAGGTCGACTTTATTTGATTAACTTTTGCAGCTCCTGTGAATACTTGACTTGCAGTCTAGTTTATGTTGAAAAAACTCCTCTTCCTGCCTGATCACAGACACCGATACTCAAATCATTTTAAAGATGTAACATTCAGATTTTCTGCAAAGCTTTCCTGTGACATTTTATTATTGATAATTCATTTGTGTCAAGAGAAGGTCAAAGAAAGACAGATCAGTGCAGGTAATTTGTTAATATTTGCAAAAATATGACAATAATATGAGGCTAACAGCAGATAAAATCTACAGATTAAGATCAGATAAATGTTGTTTCTGCTTCTTGACTTGCTCTCAGGATTGATGTATTACTTCATTTTGAATTTAGTTTTTCTAATCCTGGATACCTATGCCCACTTAAGCCATTATTTAAATATGAGAATATGTTAATAGAGAATATTTTGCAATGACAATGAGAGAGGTGAAAGTAGTGAAGTGATATAAAGCTACTCCATACTAGGGGCATCGATTTATAAGTGATATTAATGTATTAAAATACGCTGCTGCTGAAATCTTAGGTAAGTGTCTTATCAAAGTATTAAAACATTTTTTCTTTGTTCTAATAATGCACTTAACCCTGTTTGAGTAAAAATAAACTATATAAATTAGGCCTTACTAAAAGCCTTCTCAAGCTGACTTCACTCCAGAATTACACACAGAGACTGGTAGTAAAATATGAAGGTACATTTGGTATAAAAACTCCAAAAAAGTGTTTTTGTTTCCACATACAGTTCTGCAGAATAATAGCATAAAGTTCTCAGGAAGTTTGTCCGAGTACAAATAAGGCTTTATTGTGTACAACTACAGACAGGGACAGACAGAACAGCACCCTCTGGTGACAGGCTGCAGTATAGGTCATTAATCCCGCCTCCTCCGGCAATCCTTATGTAGTCGGGGGACAAACTTTAGAAATTTATCACATAGAATATTAATTTTTCTCTCCCTCTGCTTGTGATGTTGACATGTAGTTACTGTAAGACTGGTTTGTACTTAAGTCCTCTTTTTTCTGTGCAGCTCCATTTTTAAAATTTATTAGGGGGTTTCATGTTTTCTTTGATTGACACTTGATACAGCCTATAGGCGTACGAAGACTGCGTACTGGCCATGCAAAGGCAGCATCTTCTGACATCAATTTTTTTCATGGTGAATCTTTGCTGTGAAAAACGTAAATAAAATCTGTTTCTTTAATATGCTGTTACTTTTAACTACCCTAATGGAGCTGCTTCGAGCATTAAAATCAACAATATGGTACTGCTGTCACTCTTCTGCTTTAGTTGTCAATAAAGAGGCATGAGTCAAAATGTTCGCTAAACTTCAGATTGTCCTAAATTAAATTTAAAAAAAAGAAAAAAAGCATTTAATAAAGACTTTCATTATACAGCAAATAGTTTTTGACCTGTAAGGAGTAAATTTTAAATAACAATCACACCTCACTCCTCAAAGTTCACTCTGTGTTTCTGACTCCATGACAAACTTTCTCTCCAAGTCTCCAACTATTTCCAGTTCCTTTTCAAGATGAAATGAGCTGCAGGACGTCAACATTTATCCAAACATTTATCAGAGTGAAAAAGTCTGCAGGCCTCGAGTGCAGCACTGATGATGACTAAGCACAGTGTGTGTGTGTGTGTGTTTGTTTGTGTTTGTGTAGGACGTCCTTGTGAGGCTACATGACCTGTTTCATGTGGTTGATGGACCGTTAACGGAAAACCGTCCCCATCACAGCAATTCCCCACTGAGACAGATAGCTGGTACGTGTGTGGGACTGTGTGTGCGCCTGTGAATGTGTGTATGTGTGAGTGCCCATCAGTCTTGCCACCAGTTTGAGCTGCCAAGATAATCACCATGAGAAAGACTCTGGAAACGAACTCTCTGACCTTCACAACCCTGTCTTCCCCCACCCTATTTACTCATTTCTAACCTAACATGGCTGAACGCTAATATTAACTGTTGTCTTATCATTATTTTTTGATTTCTTAAACATGGAAAACAGCAAAATACAACATTTAAAATGAGTACGATGTGTGAGTAGTGTTATTGGAAAGCTAACTTTCATTACTACAGGAGATTTCAGATTGAAAACAGGCTTACCTTGAATTAACTAGATTTGTTTTACATGACCTTGATACTGGGTTGAAAGAAAAGTCATGAATTTGAATATTGTAGCTTCTAGGGATGTTGGATTACAGCTTTGCCAAGTGAAAATTAATTATGCACTGGCCAAAGCAAACAAGTCCCAGCATTTGAGGAGACACCAGACTATGTCAGAGAAACTGGTCCACATGCTTGGTGGTGGCTAAAAATGAGTATGTAATGTAACTCACACACACCTTTCGACAACGTCCTGGCCGCTCCAGCATGTGTGCTGCTCAACCTCCATCTCGCTCTCGCAGAGCATCTCTGGCAGCTCGGAGAAAAACCACTGGTAGCGCTGGATTGAGCCCTCGAACTCCCTGAAAGAGAGAGAGAGAGAGCTGTGAGTGCACACTTGAACGCTCCAGTTGTTGTTAGTTCGAGCAAAAACGGTGGACCATATGTTTGTGTTTGTTCCAATTTAGGCTCGTCAGTTTCAATTCCCTCTGAAACTCCCTCTGATGGACTCCTGTGAAGTCTTAAAGTGACAAGGACAAGGGAAAAGGTCCCAGAACATTTTTAGTGACTTATACTCAGGTTATTATCTCAGATTTCTGATCATAGATTGTGTTTTTTTAAAAGCCTCAACTTCAGGAAGGATGCCTTAATCTTTTAAGTCCTACTCCGATCATTTTTTTTATTTTATTTTTTTATACTTAAAAGTGTTCTCAGTTGTCTTTAAATTGTGATTATTAATTTTTTTACCAAAATCACATTACCTGTGTCATTTTTTAGAGCTTTTCCTATGCAGAGCTCCTGTAGCTCATTAGCAATTCACCTCTGAGCCGTAGGAAGAGACAGCGCTGCTCTGCACACTCCTCTTCACGCTAGTTTGCAGCCTAACATTGTCAGTTCAGTAGTGGTGGCAGGTAACATAGGAGCTATTCAGCATGATGAAAGTTAATATCATAATTAGCTTTCTTACAAGCATTGCAGTCCGATAACACACACGCTTTGTAGTGGCCTCAACCACCACCTTGTGTTAGTATTTCTTTGTCTTTAGGTTTTAACTCAGTAAATTTGTTTCGGTTTAGAAAAATCTTATTACACACTTTTTTGATGAAATAAATTCACTTTTATTGCATTTATGGAAGTTGTTTTCTAGTTTGGGTGCACACAATTTGGTTAACAAACTGTCAAGTGGTTTAATTTTCTACATGATGATTTAATTTTGAGTTTTTTTAATTTCAAAGTAATACTTACCTTTTTGTTTGTCTTTGTTTGAGCTCACCTGGCAAAAGTCTGTCTGCAGCTCCAAGATGGCCTCTTAAGCCCCACCCACAGGAAGTGGGACAGACCATCAAGGGGGAAGCAAGGAGGAGCTTGGACTTTAGATTCTTTATAAAACTTTTGTCTTTACTCTTTCAGTCAGAATAGAGTATTTAGTTTTTTCTGTAAAAAGTTGTTTCGAATAATTTGATGGTTTTTGTCTGAGCTTGTTGGATGTTTAGTTTGAAGTCACCTTGGTTTCCCCCTTGTGTTTATGTTGGACTAGTCCTTTTGTCTATTAAACCCCTGACATGAATCACTGGGTGGGTCTGTTTGATCATGTCTGTTAAGGTGTAACTTTAGTTCTTTTTTATGTTGAGTTGACCTCTTGATTTCTGTTTTTTGCCTGATTGCTTGGTCCCTTACACACTTGTTCTGCGATCATCCTCTCTACTTTTCCGAGTGCGGCCTGCATAGTGAGGCTTCAGGGGTGGAGCTTGGATTTGCTATGTAGGAAATCTCATTAAATCTGAGCCAGCTATTTGAATGCAGAAATACTCAGAAATGCACTTAATTTTCTCACGATATGTCCTGTTGCATCAGAAAAAAAAACATATGAACATGTAGACAACAAGAAAAACATGATTTTCATCGGAATGGGTCTTTAAGAAGTATTGACTAATAAATCAATAAGAATTATCTGAACAGAGCGGTGCATAAATCTATTAGTCAAATACTTGGCCTATTATCAGCTCCACTGACTATCAGTGTCTCTGTAATCAAGATGGAATTGAATGACAACAGTGGGTAGTGTTATGTAATTTAGCATCTTTTTCCTACGTCCTAGAAAAGAAACCATCTGTGGTTTGTTTTTAAATAAAAACTACTTCAGCTTCATGGAGGCAATACCACCCACGTTCACGCTGTAGGACAACAAAGAGCAAGACAAATTCCCTCGATTATTACATTTGGATATGTAAACTAAAAAATTAAACTCTGAATTAAAAAAAGTCTCCCTTGAACACTTGAAATTATTTATGAAAAACTCTCTCAACACTCTCATTTTTCCGGGACAATTTTACTTGGTTATCTAAGACTTCTGGATCTTGGAGTGCGCATGTTTTGGCTATTGCCATTAATGTTTTGTTCCATATTTTCAAGTGGATTCATTGGATTTTTGGTATCTTGTAATCACTTTGAAATGCAGGAATCCTCACTGACTTTACAGGCTTAAATTCAGGTTAAAAGAAGATGTCTGTGTTGGCACAAAAGGAGAAATGGATGTCTAGAAAAAAGCAGAATACTAAACTAAAAACGTTGAATTAAGTCTTTATCTTTAACTCCAACATTCATCCAAATTCTGTGCATTTTTGATTTTGTCCTATTCAAGACCAGTAAACTAACAAACGTGGCTTAAATGGCTTTTAGTTAGAACGATGTGTTGACATGAGGAGATCCGATATCTGTTATTTTAATTTCCAATCATGTAGAACAACTTCATAATAATAATTTATCCCTGTCAGTGCAGCTGATGCAGCAGGATTTACCTGGACAGTCGTTTCAGGCTGCGGCTCTTGTCTCCCTTGGAACCTTTCAGGGCAAACGACCTGGGGAACAAATGTTAAGACATGAGAAAACATCAGATTTTCTTCTGGTTTTCTTCTCCCCTCCTTCACCGGATTTAACCAAACACCTCAAGAACTCAAACTTTCTTCAGGTGTTTGTGTCACTCACCTCCTGGACTGCAGCTGAAGACGCCGCTGAGCAGATGGTCTCAGTGAGGGAGTCGATGTGTCATGTGACCTTCCTGATGTCACTGATGTCGGAGGGCTCACAGAGGTTGATGTGAAATGATGATGTGAGGTGGTGGGATTTGCGCTTGGCATCATGGGAGCAGCTGCCTGGGATCCACACACCTTCTCCACCTGAAGGAGAGACAGTTTGAAGGGTGGTGCTCAGGGATGCAATGACAGAAAATCTCACGATTAAACTCATGTTCGTTCCCGATAAGAAGGCCATGGTAGGATATCTATAGATCCTTCAAAAAGACAAATGAAGACTTTTCATAGTGAAGGCGAAGTTTGACAGATTTTAATTCCAAGCATAAAATTTAAATTACTGATCAGACCTTGAACACATCATTTCATGAGTTTGTGGGGTTAGCTAACCAGCTTTTATCTGCCGATTTCAACACATCAACCTGGACTTTCTACAAAGTTTGGGCGGGCCAACCGCAGCTGCTTCGAGAGAAGCAACGGTGGCAGCCTGAGAAAATTGACGGCCATTTTCAACCTAGCTAAAGACAGTCAAGAGATATTTATTTAGCCAAACTTTTGACCTCTTTACACGTTAAAAAATTCTCGCAAACTTCAGTCGATGACCTTTCTTTTTTTTAGGTGGTTTAATACTTCTTGGCTGGGAATGAAAGATGAATCAGAAAGTTAAAATAATTAATGTGTTTGTGTGACAGTGATTTGGTTTAAAAAGGCTCGATACGAGGGGTAATGTCTGAGACACCCTTAGAAACGGCAATGATTTTTGAGCCGTAAAATGTGGAGCCAGGCCCTTCTCAGGACGGGAGAAGTAATATTTTATATATATTTTTCCCCCGTCACCTTTTCTCCTTTCTTGACATGAACTCGGTTTCCTCTCCCTCACTTTTTGATTTGTCACTGTCCACCTCTGTACCTGAGACAGTGAGCAGAGCACGAAGATTGACAGGCCCACATGGAATGATGGTCTCGGTAGTTCCCTTTCCCTCCACTCTGATCTACTTAGAGTATCCACCGTGCCAAAAAGAACAAGACATTTTGGAGGGCCGTTGCATACCATCACACCACAGGTCCCAATACGTAGATATTTAGTCATGTCATAAACACAGCTAGAAGTGGTGGCCCCTGGTTGTGTTTGTCACAAAAATAATCTGGTCCTCTCTAAGATAACATTTTCACCATTATTCAGGATAGCACAGTATTTTTAAAGTGCATTTAGCTCTTTCTCTCATCTTAGAGGTGTTTTAACCGCCTGAAAAAATTGGTTACCTGTTTCTCAGGCTTTACAGGACACATGAGAAAGCCAGATGTCAATTAATAAAGACATAGTAAAGTTTTGGGGTCTGTGCTGAATCATGGCACACATTAAGAAATGAAACTATTGGAGAAAAATTCACATTTTGGGGGAATAATGTGTTGATGTTTCTCAGTAGTTCCTCATAAGACTTCAAACTCTTTAACTGAACGTAGTCAGTCCTGCATATTTTTTTATTTAACACACCCAAAAGTTCAATTTTTTTGTCTTTTTTAGGTCAGCCTTATAGTCTTCCCTGAAATTTCAGTAGTTTGGGGTCAGCTACACTCTTAGTCTGAGGGCCAAGTCGGCAATAACCTTCAAGAGCAATCTTTAAACTAACTCCATACGTGTCATATAGAGTTTTTTATAACAGTGTGCAATATACTGTATGGTTCACCATAAAATCCAAGCTCCACATTGTCAGAGGGGACTCCCAGCGTTGTGTACAGCCTGAAAATTCACGACTGTTTCTTTTCTCTTGCTGTAAAACTCAACAACCCGGCGACTACCTCCACATCCGGTTTTGTGGAGCGTGACACACAAAGGGGTTGTTAAAACCAGTTTTCCCATCAGTAGATGTGTTTGCAGAAAATACCGCTGTCTTAAAATTTATGTTGCAATCGTCTATTAACTTTGAATGCTGCCCACAGCACACAAACACCACCGAGGGATTAGCGGTTAGCCTTTAATGATGTGTCTAATGAATAAGAAGCTTCATCAAATATCCCATGAAGTGGTATTTTCTTATTAGCTACAATTAGCGGTGCAATCATGCTTGTGTGTGTTTGTTTACCTCTCAGGAATCTACTCTACTAAGTCCACAATGTTCTCCCAAAGTTGGATGGCTACTCTATTCCTTCCTCCAACAGTGTGTGCATGCATGCATGCGTTTGTGTGTCGTCTGTTTGTCCAGAGATTAGCCACAGAAACTTTCTCATCACTCAGAACCAAGCTGCATTCTGGGTATCCGTTGTCCCGCCAACCACAGTCTTTGTCTGGCACTGGATCTGTATTCACACTCGCATACACACTCGCACACAAACGCACACACACACACAGACAGAGACTGAGGGGAACCCCAGATTCCCTGAAGAATGAGGCTGTTTTTAGCCCATCTAGGTACAAGGCTTTTTGTGAGGAGGATCCAAGTGCCAGGCTGAAAGAAAACCCACGGCCCTTCCTCTCTCTGTGTCCAAAATTTAAATGACTTTATTATTTCAGCATATGAGTACGGACGGTTTAGCTGTCTCTTCGCTTTTATTCTCTTTTACAGAGGCGCTTTGTAGGGAAACAACCATCAGAGAGGCCTTGCATAAACATCTTGAACTAGTGTGGTGGATACAGATAGTGTAACACTTCATATGTATGTGTATGTGTGTGTGTCTTCCCATAATCCTCTCTGCCTACCGTAGCTGTGATGCGCGGCCCGTGCAGCTGAGCGTGCAGTATGGCGTCGTTCACGTGGTTTCGCACGGCTAACAGAGCTAGCTCCATGCTGTTGTGGTTGCTGCTGGTGGCTAAAGTTGCAGCCAACCGTTGGAGCAGCACCACCAGACTCCCCCAGGGGGCGCCAAGCTCTGATACACCCACCTGAGAAGAAAGGATGGAGAGAAAAAAAGACAAATGGAGATAGAAACGGGGGAGAAACGTGTAAATAAGACAAAAAGAGACGCTTCAATACCTGTTTTTGCCCTGCTCTTTCTTTTTTTATCTATTTATTTGTTTTTTTTGTACCCAGTATGAATGTGTATGTTGTGTGTGCCGCTGCTGTTCACAATTTAATTTCCCCACTGAGAGATAAAGAAAAGAAAATCTAATTTAATCTGATCTAATCAAAGTTTCTATGTTTCCTCAAAGATAAAGATTTCATACTTAAAAACCAATTAATCACTGACAAATTCGATGTGGTTATCTTAATAAAAGAGTGACTAGATGAACGAGATCAAGATGAATTGCAGTTGTATAATAAAGAAGCATTTGCCAGGGCCACATTTTACATAAATCAAGCTGCCTTCTGTCACAGAGAGCCTCTTCCCACTTGTCCCTCTGCCTCCTCTTGACGTCCCTCTGTGTATTTTTTCTTCTCTCCCTCCACTGAAGAGCATCAACACGATGGCACTTCCATTTTCATCTCGCTTCCTTTCCTTCCAAGAAACTCTTAAGCGGGATGAACTGTGCTATCTTCTAGTTTCGTGCCATAAGGAAGTCTCTCCATTGTGGGCGCCGCTAAAGCTGTCCAACATATTATGAAGCGGGCCAGTAAGGCGCGCAGGAGACGCTGCCAACTCTCTTGGCAACGCTCTTGTCTATGTCCGTCTAAATCTTAATGTGGGGATGGTTCGTTGATGATAAAATTCTGTGAATGGCAGATAGCTACTTTTTTTATATTCGCCTCTACAGACACAAAAGGAGACAAATAATCTTCATGCATTTAAATGGTATCAGCTACAATGCACACACTCTCAGTCCGAGAAGAATACGACCAGGCTGACATTCGCTAATTTACACTATTTTCTTTAAATCTGCAATGAGAAGATAAATGACCAAGGAGGGCGAAATCATTTCTGATTAATCTGAAAAATGTCACTCTGGGAACAGCAGGAGGTTTAAGGGGAAATTAAAGCTGCTGTGAGGAGTTTTTTGATGTGAATACAAAAGACTGAAATTCCAACCAGTGACTTTTATGGCATACAATAGCAAACAAGACCATCCATGTTAAGATTGACAATTTACATTTTGTAATTTTGAACGCCTGAAGCTGTTGTGTGAAAATACAGCACCGTTTTTACATTTCTCACAAAAATACTCAAAATAAATGAAACATCTGACTGTCAAAAATCAGCTGAAATATGTAAATGACAAGCTAAACAAAGACTTCTTTGTCCACAGGGGGCGCCAAATCTGACACAAAGGTTTATTACAGAAGCATGTTTGAGAATACATCTGTGCACGTGTTCGTGTAAAAGTAGGGTGACATATTCTTAATCCTAAATTCTGAACACGACTACGCGGGGGCGGAGTCACAGAGTCGCGAGTAGTAAATTTTGAGAGTTTTTTTGGTCGGATAGAGTACGAGCTTTTAACTCAGTAAGTCCATGCGACACGAACTCAAAACTTTCATTCAAAACCTCAGACATTTGAAAGATTTTATAAACTCCCCCAGACAAGGCCAGACAGCTCCCCAGAAAGAGGACATGTCCGGGTAAAAGAGGACGTATGGTCCCCCTAGTTAAAGCTCCTGTGAGAAGTTTTTGGGCAGGTGTTAAGCAGAAATCAATCGTGATTCCTCTCCATGACTTAAAAGAGCAAACCAAGCAATCTGCGACAGGACTTAAAATCTTTCAAGCCTTTGACTACTGCAGAAGGGCAAAATGATAGAGCTTACTGAAGAAACAGACAATTTTTTAACCTTTTTCTACAACAATTACTCAAAATGACGGATATTTGTGATGGTTTAAGGAAAGCTGAATGAAATTTTTGTTGTAGCTCTTTGCAAAACGGGTTAAGACCTGCCTCTGTTTCACCTCTTTTCCTATTGCAGGGCTAACCTAAAGTTGGGTTGGCTGCACCTTTCCAACACGGACATGGTCTCTATGGTAGAGGACAGTCACTTTGACTCTGATCCTCTTTTGTAGGTAGTAACAGACGCAGGATAGATGGTGAGACTGGTGATGTGCAATGTTGGAGCTGCCAAGGCGGAACAGCACTGTGTGTGTGCGCACATGTCTGTTTTTGTGTTTTTACAAGCTGTGCATCTTGACAAGAGTTTTTAAGGCCACACTTGTAGTCGCTAACACGGCAAACTAAACTGTGTCACTGTAATGAAAACATAAAAGTTTGGGAGAAACAAAAACAGCAAATGTAAAAATGTTCAAACACTTACCAGACATCCCCTCATAACATTGACACATAGTCCCGTACAGGGCCGAATCAGCGTCAGCCCTCTGCAGTGAGAACAGTACTGCATCCTCACTAAGCCCCGCCCACACTCCCTGGATAACGTCACTTTCTCCGTCGCGTTTACGACCTCTCCGGCCAGTTTCAGTAGTTGGCTCAGTGCTCGCCCCGGCCCGAGGGCTCGGGACAAGCTGCTGACGAGGAGGCGAGGGTGTGGTCCAAAGGGGCTGACATCCTGCCTCGTCATCCTCAGGCAGTCGTCGTGATTGGCGGCGAGTGGGTAAAAAGAGCGGGCTGACATGTGGCCGATCCCGGGGTTGAGCAAACGCCGGTAGACCAGCGGAAAAAGATCATTGTAGAACCGGCGTACAGTGTGGTCCAGTGAGGAATTCGAGTCCCCTGAAAGGTGCCGTTTGATGCCGTTGAACAAATGAAGCACAAGGGGGCGGCAGTCGGACGCCAAAGCAGAGTAGGCGCTGTCGAACAGAGTGCTGGTCAGGTTGGATGTGAAGGACACGAGCGACTCAAAGGTCTCTGGAAAAAGAAAGAGAAAAAAAAAAACAGGCATATTATACTTATTTTCATGACTGAAGTTGAAGTTGACAAAAGTAAAAAAACTCTCCAAACGTTCTTGGAGCCGTTACAGACTGACTCAGAATTAATGGCACCGCACACTCAAGTTGGATTTCCATATTTTTAGTTTGGACCAAAATGCCGCCCTTACAGCCAAGCTGCTTGCAGCTAAAAAAAAACTCCCAAAACATGAGAAACGGCAGTAAAAACGCCTGCAATGTCCCATCAATAACTACTAAAATCCAAAATCATCATAAATTCATAATTTTAGGCAATTTCTTAAGTGTTTTATGTACCAACCAAGAACCTTTTCTCTTCTTTTTTGCATTTACTGTATGTATTAACTATCCTGATGTACCTAATACACAGTATATTGGTCTGATATGAGTATGTTTGTGTGATTTACGAACAAAGGTTTATACAGAAGCTGTTCAAGTTGTGACTGGGACTTGAAAAGTGGCAGATATTCACTGTCTTTGTATCAGAGTGTGTGTCTCTAACCTTGGACTGACTTTATCCTGATGGTCGGAGCCAAAATAGCAACAACTTAATTCATCCCTGAGCTCGTTTTCACTCTCCTGTCATCTACAGTCAGGTGATAATGAGAGGCCCGATCTCAGGATCCTCTGTGTTTCCTACATCTGACACGCTCTAATAAAGTGGACAGCACTATTAACAGAGGCAGTGTGACAGACAGACAGATGGAGTGCGTGCCCATGTTTGAAATGGCAAAGTAAAAAAGGGTGATGTCAACCTGATGGCATCCTGGCACATGGACACACTCATTCGCTCGCACATTCACACGGAGAGACAAAAAGCATGACGTATTCGGACGGTCGACGGGAATCCATATTCAGACAGCTTCATTTTCAGTAACAGCCACCTTGAAATGACATTAAAAAGGAGTTTCCTGGAGCTCTTTTTGCACATTTTACAAAGTAGGTGTTTTTTTCATAGTCATCTACATTATCGGAGAGTTCATTAAATAGTTTTTGTGTTTCTGTTTGTGGAGTAAGGTTGTGGAACAGATTAAGTGTGGAGCTCAAGCGTTGTCCAAGCATGACCCAGTTTAAAAAGCGGTACAAAAACACTTTTTTACTCTATTTATGTTCTATTTTTTTGTTAATATAATGTAAATATGCTGGAGGCTGACTGTTTAATTAGGAAGAGGAGAAAGAGGTAGGTTTAAAAAAAGCATAATGCTTTTCGGACATGTTGGGTTCGCATTATTATTATTCAAATTTTTTTTTACTTTTTAGCTTTGATTATTGTTTTTGTTGTTTTCAATACTCTCACTGGTTTTGTTTGTTTGTTTTCAGTTTACTTGTGTTGCACGCACGTTTGAAAAAAAAAAGTTAAAGCTCTTTAAATATGCAAGAAAAAAGTTTGAGAAATGACTAAAAATAGCTCAAAAATTTTAGTAAAATTAGTCTCGATTTCAAACCTTGAACCTGAATTGACAAAATTTGTAAATGACCCTTTCAGTTTGCATAATCAGGACATGTTTTCTATTTTAGTTGTGTATGTTCAAACTCACTGCAGCACAAATAGGCTGAATAAAGACACACTGATAGCACTCATGGGATGAAGCGGCAGCAGCAGCAGCAGCAGGACTCTCTGCTCTTAAGTACCCAGTGAGAACGACCCTCTTTTATATGTTTGCATACCCATGTCCCGGCAATAGCAACACAAATACAGACGGCATCAAGTGACACAGAAAAGTCCACCCTGGGGTCATGTGATTAGCTCTTTACCCTCTGTGATTGGATGACAGCTGCGGCATGGTCGGAGAGGGCGCAAGGGGTCTTACTGTGCCGTGGAGAGAGACATGCAAGCATGCAGACATATATTGACACAAGCGCACGCACACACACACACACATGTAATCCACAGGGTGTAAACAGAGCCCGACTATAACCACGCTGGGCATGTCTCAGTTTCTCTAGAGGGTTTTAATCACTCTACTCTGGAGAGGAGATCCACTGAGATTCAGCTCAGCTGTTGAGCACTGCTGTCACACAAAAAGTAATTAATTAAAGGGCTAGTTCATCCAAAACATTCAAATGAGCTTTTTTTTAAACTTGCTGACTGGGTATCAATTTAAAGACACATCTTTTTTTTTAATTATTCCTTTTTCTTTAAGGCAGAAGGAACTTTTTCAGCACAACTGGAGGATGCCACCTCTTAAACGGTAAACCTTGGGCACCATCGCAGCTCTTAGAGGGAATTTAAACACTAGTGTCCTCAAAGTGACTTAAAGATCCTATGAGGAGTTTTTTGACATAAATGAAATAGATTAAAATCCACATTGGTGCCTTTTTTTAGTGCTGGGTGACAAACCAAAAATTTACCTATACTGAAATTTATGACAATAACCAACGTCATTTTGCCCATGTCAATATATTTGGTGTCAAAAAAATAAATAAAAGTTGGTTTTGGATGTGTGTAGGTAAGCTATGGTCTTATGTCCCTTTAAGATGCTCTGAGACATGACTCCACCCCATCCAGTCCATAACAAAGAGGGAAAGACAGGTAAGGAGATGGAGGACAGTTCAAGAGTTGGAGCGGCTGGAGCGGCGGCTGAAGTAGATGAAGTTAATGTGGGAGGGGGTGAGCAACTTGTGGAGAAGTTATCGTCCATTTATCGTTATTGAGGTGAACTGTTCAGTATGTATGATATTGATTTGTGGCTATATCACCCAGCCCTATCTTTTTTATGATTAACAAAAGCTAACAAAATCACCAATGACATGACAAATGACTTTTATATTGTAGTTTTTAGTGCCCTTGAGCTGTAGCAAGGGGGTTTGTGTCAGCCGATCAGCCCTGCTTTTACATTTTCCATTAAAAAAGGGATTCGTTGACTTTTAAGATGTTTTTATTGAATGGCACAACTTTAGCATGTTGGGAACAAGACATGCAAAGACTACTTTGTCCACAGGGGGCGCCAAAGTTAACAGACAAATACACCACCAGGAAAGCTAAAAAACCCAGCATTTGTCCGTGGAAATTAAGTCATTCTCTTGAAACCAACAAAGCTTAACCCAGACTTTGTTGTTGTTGTGATTGTTATGTGTGGTATGTCTATAAAATTGCCTGCTGACCTACATTGATTTCGTAATGAAGCCACCGGCAGTGCCAGCGCAAACAATAAAGAATCCCTTGTTGGTGTCTAATTTTGGGGAATTCCAGATCATAAGAGCTGTTTCAAAGAGTTTGGCGCACCATTTCTGACGATTATCTGTCTGATGTTCTCAGCCCAAAGGAAATACATGTCCTGAAGAAAATGGTGTTGCATATTTCAAGTGTCACATCTCCCTTTTTATTCCCAAAACGAGAGCACTGCAGCCGCCCAACAAAGGCTTACAACCAGATTTTCTCCACCCTCTCCTGAGATAATGTGTCGTTTTCCTGCATTTATCCCAAAGCTTTAAGCAGCACAGTGCAAACTTCATTCACCCGGGACAACTGTACGCACATTTGTTTGCACTGCACAGGTCAAACAGGCCTTTGTGTTCACTAGGCTGTCTGGAACTACTTATAGATAGATTTGAGGTACGATTAGCTGATCCTGGTTAGGGCATTTAAAAACGAACTGAAGGACATCGAAATGAATCCAAGTGTAATTTTTAACTACTTCTTGCCTTGATAGATTTCTTTTTTAGTCCTTGTGCCTGCTTTAAGTGATTTAATTGTTTGTTTAATGGTTTAAAACTCTGTACTGCTGCTGTCCATACCTTTAACAAAAGAAGTTTGTTGTTATTCTGCACAAAAAAATAGAGTTTAATCACCATGAAAATTCTTAGTGTTGCTGGCAAAGTAGGAAAGTTAAACTTCTCTTCTCCGTGTGAGCTGACTCTGAATCACACTGCTCGGGCTTTTACATTTCAACTCAATGCAGCAGATCCAAGCCCGTCTCCTCTGACTTGCAGCAGCTTTGGCCCTGTTCTTTGTTTATGGGTGTTTTGCATTAATTTTACCCATGGATGAGCTAGCCCTCCACTGGGCCTAACAGGAGCTGAAACTGAGTCTAAGTGCATTCAGACTGAGCGGGGGAGGAGAGAGAGGGGAGAAAAGAGAAAGCAGGGAGGTACATGTTTGCCATGTCTGTCTGCTGGGTTTCATCAGCTCCAGCCCTCTCATAATCTCTGCACACATTCATGCACACAAACACACAGACACACACACCAGCTCTTTTTATCTCACACACATGCTCGCACAGACGGGTGAATAGCGTTGAGAGACAAGTGGACAAGCAGAGTATTCTTCCTCCTATTCAGAGCAGGCCGTTAGAGACCGGCTGTTGCCCACGGCAACAACACTTTGCTGCAGATACGTACTGAATGTAAACATTCTCCGTCCTTCGCTCTCTCGTTGGTCACGAACAAAACCTGATTATGGCAGCGACAGAGACAGACGGATAAAGAAAGAGAGCGGAGAGTTGTAACAAAGTTTTTCGCCGCTCCCTCTGTGAGTTCGCTCTCTCAAAGACTCAATCGGACATCAGTTGTTTGTTTGGCTAGCCACTGTGGCGCCTCACAAAATAAACTGGCCTCACACCGCCATCCTGACACAAACTAGCTATTTCTTGATGAACACACAAAGTGGGAACGACAGGAGGGTTACAGACACTTGACAGAACTGTTAAAACGCCGAAATCGCCGCTGCTATTAACGTCAGTTTGATTTACGTCCTTAAATCTTCCACTTGAGTAACTCGTGTATGCTAACCTCCCTAAAAACCAAACGAGAAAAATAACCAGACTAGGTAAAAAAGTTATTTTTGAACATATTTACTCCTTAGAGCACCAGAGGGATGAAGATTAATTAATGCTGTCACTAATACCAGTAACTTCTGTTTCAGAGTGGCAAAGGAGAACTGTTTTGATGAAGTCCATGTTTTTTGTAAGGTAACAATCAAAATAAACTAACGGGGTTTATTCAATCCTCTCTAGCTAGAAAATAGGATATCAGGGGAGGCTGCTAGCATAGCTGGGCGTGAGTCCCGCCCTCCTTCGCCTCTGATTGGCTAGAAGTGCTGGGCTCCGATTGGTTTTTCCTTATGGCTCTGAAACGTCTGTCGGGTAAGGGTAAGGGTTCGGGTTCTGTTCGATGTACAAAGCCGACAGCCCGCGTTTGGCCATGAGCGTGCAACATTTCCAGCGTTTCTAGCCAATCAGAGGCAAAGGAGGCGGGACGTTGTCCAACCATCCTACAAAAAAATATATCGCTAGCTGGGCTAATGCTAGTATAGCTGGGCTAATGCTAGCTTAAATGTTTCTTGTGGCCTTCCAAATTGTCGTCAGCGTATTTAGGTAATGATTCGTTAAATGGACTGGTTTAGGTTGATAGAAAATGCGGTACATCTCAGTCATACAAGTTTCGCAGCTTTCAAGTGTTCATAGATAATAACAATCTGCATGTTTTTAATCATATCAGGGAAAGTTTGGTGTAATAAAATGTTTCAAAAGCTGAATCAGGCCAAGAAAAGGTCACAGTGGAATTTCTCCTGGCCAACATTGACATCTTTGAATAACTAGGTGTGTTTCAACAGTTCAAGATACAGACACTCTATATACTAACGTCTATATTTTTGTAAACGCAAAGCTAAAAACTATTGTCACTGAGAAACTGAAGCTAACATTTCCTGGTGTTCTTGCTCAAAAATGTCTTTTTTTAACTGAATAACTTCAAATTTTGGTCCATACATGAGAAATTATGGTTGACTGAGTAATATCAGCTTTAACACCATGTTCAGAGAAGTTTGATATTTGCTGAGCAAGTAAAAAATGTTCCTCCACTCCTCCAACATGTCACTATGTGAGTCAATATGTGAGTGTACTCTATTTCCCCTCGTCTACATCACTTTCTTCATTTCCACTCTCACCTTGGTATGCCTTGGTGTGTCCGGCGATCAGGTACTTGAGCTCGAAGCTGTAGGATCTCATCTTCTGCTGCGTCTCGCTGCGAACTGCTGCCATGTAGCTGTCCTCCATCTTGCTGGTGCAGCAGCTGGGCCCAGGCTGGACACACACCCGCAGAGACTCATCTGAGGACAGGGGGCAGAAAGACAGAACCTCATCCTGGTTAATGTAAATTAAATCCACTGATATTTCAGCCACAAAGAAGCAAATCTCTCATGGTTAATAAAAGGAATTATTCCATAAAGTCTGCCTAGATTTCTATTAACCTTTTAGTCTAACCCTGGTTAAAAATTTCAGGCCGTACGCTCAGAGATTCTAATGAATAATAGAAATAATATCTAATAAATGTTTAATTCTTGCCTTGAAAACTTTCACCAACAAACTTGTCTGACTTTTGGCGACTTAAAAGAGAGATGAGCTGCAGATCTGCTCCTAAAGGCGTGAAAATGATCGAATAGTTCGAGTCCCTACATCAATAACTGGTATGAATGAACTGTTTGTGTTGGGGGTATGAATGAGTGCATCAATCCATAACTGTCAAGGGGAGGAAGTAATATTGATCCGAGTTACAGCACCGACTCTAACACCACGGTTGATGTAGACATGGCAGGAATAAGAGTAGAGTGAACTTCTATCAGTCAGTATCTCCAGAGACCTGGAAGGGTGTCCAGTGACAGCAGCACTGAGATGCCAGGAGGCAAACCCAGGGTTACCCCGAGCAAAGATGATCTTTATAGACCGGATTTTGGAGTATTTTGGTTAAAACCATAATTTTTGTCACCTTTTCAATGTTAAAACGAACCAACTCCATAGATTACGCACTCAAAGTGTCACGTTGAGGTTGTTGCTGTTTTTTGGTGGTAGAAATATTGGACCTTGAAATCCCAGATGGGAATCGAGAACCGGTTTTAAATGAGAACTGGTTTAAACTATTTTGAGCCATCAACATCATTTGCCTTCAAGCTTAACTGTTCCCTTATTGGTATGACAGGCAGGAAACATGAACAACAGCCAAAGAGTCAGAGAGGTAATCATGAAGGGGTAAATGCATAAGCAGATGTCAAAGATTGTTTTTACAGTACTAGCCCTGAAAGCAAAACAGTACAGTGCACTGACTTACTGTAAAATTGACTCACTTTGTGAGACCTGCTGCCACCTTTTAGTGCAAAATTCAGTATTTCTGCAACAATCAGGGTCTTTTCTATCTCACAAAGATGATCCAGTGGTGTCATTTTACTAGATGTCATTCTGTCTCTTGTTTTGCTAGACAGAGACTACCATCTTAGTTTAAAGAGTGGATAAGATGACCTTTAAAAGTCCAGTCAGAGGCCAGGCAATCTCGTCTCAGCAGAGCAGTATAGATACAGGACTTGTTATCATATTTGTGTTTTCCTTCTTTTTCCACACAGAGAATCCACAGGAATTGACGAAGGTTTGAATAAGCAGAATCAAAAATGCTGTTAATATCAATAAAACCTTGTCATTTCCCTGATTTGTTGGTACTCACTGAAAACAATGAACCCTCTTTTGGCTTTGATTCCTGATAAAATCAGTAAAGATGGTTAAGAGTTTCCCATGTCCTATTTCTCATGTTTATCTCCTGGTCCTAATTCCACCGACACTGGTCTGAAAGTTGGGCGATAATAACACTTAATGGGAACAGGTGTGAGAGCATCCTGGGAGCAACTGAGTCCTGACCATCTCTGATATAAAACAGTCCAAATAGAGCAACATCCTGTCCTGCAATCCAGGCAATAGCAGCACAGCTGTTGAGACCAAGCTGCTGACTGGTGTAAATCAGCCTAAACCATAGGGGTGGCTTAGGGGTGGACCATTTATCAGCTTTGGCTAATTATCAAAACCGACATTCAGCATTTGGCTAATTAACTGTTCTGTCTTTCCATTTTCCCCATTGCCCATAACATTAATTCATTTAAATTGGTGCTATTTCGGCCACGCTGCCAATGGTATGTCTTGCCTTCTGTGACTGTTTTCACTCACCACTCTATCTCACCAAATGTCCCATCTGCAACACCATCTAATTGGCAAGATGTCCCACAACCAAGTAACAGGATTGTACTGTAAGAGTAACTGGCTGACTTTCACTCCCAGTATGTGATGCTGAAAGTTACATTTACTAAAAGCATCTAAACTAAGTCTTAGGTTAGAGTTTGTAATATTCCAAGTTTTTCAATTTTACTGTACATTCATTTTGGTTTCATCTGGGTTCATCTGGGATCTGTTTCTGTGTAGAAAGAAATTTTAACTGACAGACACACTAAATCAAATAAAGTAAGTCTAGTTTTTTACATCTTTTCGATAAAATGTTTCCAGTTTTCTAAATAGAAACAGTCTGCTGAATTACAAACTGCTTCTGCGTTAGTATCTCTTTATGATGCAGGTCAGGTGATCACAGAGATAGCCTCTGATTGGTTGACAGACCAAAACAAAAAGTTAGCTTTTGTTTAGCACAGTCAGCTAACAAAAGAAGTAACACTATTTTACCAGAAATGATACATAAATCATCACAGATTGCCTTCATTTTTGAGGGACTGGATCCGGACAATCTCTAAAAATACACTCTATCTCCTGAAATCTGCTGGTCTAACAAACTGAGTGGATTTTACAGAAGGTCTGCGTTACTGTACTGTTTTAAGGACTGTTACTGTAACATCATTAATCAACCCTGAACATAAACAAGCTTTATTTCTTTTTTAGATGTACAGTTTTAAGTCTGCAAGAGGAAGTACCACGGCAAAAAAGGTCCTCCTTGGATCACAAACAAGAGACCTGCTCCTTCTGAGAATTTTTTTTTTTTTCATGTATATCATTAAAAAGTGAATTTTCATGACTCCAGATTTTCTTCTCTGTCTGAGTGCTACACACTTCTTCATCTCAAAGCATTTAGCGCACTAGACTCTCTGCCCTCATGGTCATAATTCTACAATGAGCCTGATGGGGCCTGACATGATGACTTGAGCGATACCCACACACACACACAGACAGAATAACACACACCTGTTTGACCTGTGTTAAACTTTCAGCTGGTCATATTAGCGCTGGCTGTGCATGGAATACATGACTGAGATTGCAAACATTGATTTGTTATGCTGGGTTACATTCCTCAAGTGAAGAACAATCACAACTGGTGAACAACATTCAAAAATAAGACTTCAATATGTGATATTTAAACATGCATACTCTAATTTTGAAGACACTGTCTCTCCTAGACTACACGCTAATTTACAGTTTTAGATTCAGTTTTTGCAGCTTGATTTGAGTCAGAAACAAACTTTTCAACATGATGAACATTTTGTGTAAACTTGTTTCGAGTGAGTTTTTTGCTGACATGATAACAGGTAAGTAAGTGGAAGCTGTGTTTGGATCTCATTAGCATAGAGAAGCATCTATTGTTTCCAATCATTTTAGAGGGGAATGTAAAGAGCTGGACATTATGATAAAAATAGATATTAAGAGAATAGTATTAAAGATTAAATGTGTGACATAGATGAATTAAAGTGTACATATATTTTTTCTTATGCAGACATATAAAAATTTTACATAATCAACATTTTTCATAGTCAAAATACAAAATTTGATGCAAAATTATCAATCCTCCGTCACACCACTGATGAATCGAACAAGTTAATTAATTTCAGTGACTTTTTTTAAATTCTGTTTCGATTTTAAATGTTATCACTTATTAAAGAGATAATGTTTTCAAAGAAATCGACTCATATTTCAGCCTCAGTATTAGACGCAAAGAAAAGTGACAGGCCCGAGAGTTGCGCATTTCACCAATCAAAAGTTAGAGGGAGTGTAAAATCACTCTGAGTGGTCAGAAAGACGAGAAAAGTCCCCATGAGCTGAAGTGAAAATCTGCAGCTTATGTTTGAAAATGTCTCACATCATTTAATTTCAGTCCAGGGAAATACAGACTGCTGACTGAGACTTATTAATGTCAAGAATTATATATAAAATTTATATTAAGGTGCTCTTATAACGTCACAGCAACTTCTTCCACATTAATCCATGTCCACGGCACATCCAAAGGCTGTTGTGCAGAGATTCTGCTGTGGTTACCATCTATTATTAGCAGACGTCTCTGCCTGTAAATGCAAAGGTCACATCTCATATTGTTAACTAGCTGTCAGAAACCACCAACTCATTACACACCATGAGTTCCTGCAAATTTTAGAACTACGATAGATCTTTGTGACTAGGTCATCTAACAAAGTGTTGTTGATAGGACAGAAAAGAAAGGTGAAACAGATCCGAGCAGAGATTGTTCAGTCTGCTGCAGCTGTATGACTGCTCACTGATGTCTGACACAGATTGCCTTCAGTCTGCCTCATAACAGCCCCATGATAAGCATCTGATTCTCATGCATTTCTGTGTATAATTATGAGGAGAGGACACTTCATGTTCAATCAAAAAGCTTGTTATATGGAGATCTGTATCATCTGCCACTTTGAGGGGAGATTACTGCAAACAGAGTGAGTTCTCCTTTTACATCGTACATCATAAAAACCCATTTGATATTTGCTTTCTCATCCAGTGCAGTGGTGTCAAACTGTGCAAAGAGAGTCTCATCAGGCAAATCACACACACACACAGGCACAAAATGCATCTTTAACGCCGACACTTTTAAACTAGTTCACTTTCAGGAAGCTCTCCGTACGTGACGATGACTATTACGGTTGGTTTTCAACAGGAATAGCTTTCCTCTCTCTTTCCTGCGTTGTGATAATCCCTTCAGTTTGGCCCCGAGTTTCTAAAGCTATGGATTTGAAATGTGTGGGATTAAAGTCACAGCAAGATGCGAGAAACTTTTAATAATCATGGCAGGGGAGATATTAAGTTGAAGTGAGATTTCAGAGCACTTGAAGTTTGTTCACTTTTCATAGCAGTGAATTTAAGAGGTGAATGTGTGGAAAGCACAGAAAATCTCGTAGGTTTCATTAACTTTAATATGATGTGAGAGTGACACTATAATCTTGTGATGTTTAATTGCTCTAATTAGTAGAAATCACATATATTTCTAGAGGCAGTCAAAGTATTTGGTGCTTTATGAACATAAGAATTGGTTGTTTTTTTTCCTTACAGATGCCTTACAGGTAAAATGTCCCAGAAATAGTCAACATTAAAATAATTAATTGTGCAGAATTGCCACAATATACATTTTTATACTATATACAGAGAGATTAAGTCTTTATCATTATCATTACTTATATATAATGGATTAAAATAAACTTCCCACATGTGTGAGAGCTGATCTAAATTGAGTTATTGGCTTTTTTTACTTGATCTAAACACTATTTAAAACACAGAATTGCCATCTGAGTATACTCGTTATGCATTTTGCATTCACTGTCACAGTCTGTGCTTTTATAAATAGACAATTTTAACAGGTTAAGAGCAGTGCAAAGCTTAATAAATGCATTTAAAGTGCATTATAGCAGAAGTAAGGTTTCTGATATGCACTCGGAGAAAAGTTCAACTGCCTCAGGATTATATAGAAGTCCAGTTCTTCAGCACATTCCTCCTCTGTGTATTTTAAGCCTCCTTTAAGTCTGCACGGTGATATTTCCAAAGGAGCTCACTGACCTGTTCCCGGCCTGTCTGGCACCAGCTCCACCGGGCCTATTTGGCGCATCATGTAGGCTGTCTTCACCTCATGACAGCTGTCCACATCGGCTGATCTACAGCCAGTCTCCGGTAACAACACAAAATAAAACAACCAAATCAGCCGAAACAAGTCCACGTTTTGTGAGGCTGCACGGAACATCGCAACATCTCAGTCAGGAGGAGGAGAGTCCGGATGGCCGATATGAATTCCTAAAAATCCAAACGGTGCAGAGTGAAAACTTCATGTGGAGCCTGCTGGAAGCGTGTGTGTAATTGTGTGTCTATGTGTGTGTGTGGAGCTCACTACCAGGCTGCGCGCGCTCCTCTCTCTGGCTCTCGTGCACTTCAGCTCAATTATCCTAATTGACATGTGCACACTGAATAATATCCAGAAATACCCGGCAAATATGTGCCTGCCATTCAGCAGATACTCTAATTTCAATAATGACTTAATGCATTTATAAAATTTAAAAACTGTGAAAAAGAATCTTGGGACTGAAATGAACTGGACTAAACAGTGTGGCTAGTCACCAAATATTTGTCTTGTTACTCTATTACCATTACAACTGATGGCCTCTTAATAGTCTGTAACATTAACTTAACCAGATGAAGTCTAATAACTGTGACTGACTGGCTGCTGTGAGAAAATGTGTCTTTGGCGTGAGAAACGTTTTGAAAAGGTACGTGGCGCCATCTTTCGGTCAATTAAAAACACATCAGTGTTATTTTTTAGTGGAAACTGGAAGTTGCAGTTTAGGTTTGTACCATAAACAGTCAATAGTTTAGTATGTACACTCTTCTTTCATACTAAAGGCGTGTAATGATTTGTAATATGTATCAAAGTAGAGATAAGTACGCTTAATTCGGTCTTTAGCTGATGCTTTACGTTGTAATTTGCGCTGGTAATTTTTACGATCTAATGCTTTTTACTTATTAACTGAAAGAACCAAACCTACGTCGAAAAGTTAACTAATATCAGCTAACGCTAACAGAGATGAAAACTCCTTTAAGGGCATCAGAAAATCCACATGCTCTGTGTGGGTCTCGAACTTTCGACCCTCGGATCTTCCTGTCTCGGTACATTACTTCAGGTAATTCTCGATACGAATACTTACTAACTCTGGTCAGTTAGTGCTCACCAACAAAGATACTTACTTGTTGCAAACTGATAAGATAAAGTGAACCCTTTTCAAATGTATGAACATTTAGGAATGCAATCATTGTAGCTGTATTGAAGCACACTATTAATGTCTTCGTTTGGTTGCCTTCTTCCCTCTATTGTAATTTTTCAGTTTCAGTCTAATAGACCAATCACAACTTCTTTGTTCATAAAAATAAATTTATTCTGCAAAATCCATAGGTTCTCAAACTCTCACGATAATTTCACATAGTCCTATTCACTCTTGTGTACACAGCGTAGAAGTTGACGTTCAAATTATATATGTGTCAGCGTGAACCGACTGACAATAGTGCCCAATTCAGTTCAGTCAACAAGGGACAGGGTAGATTGACTCAAGCAGCACGGAAAAAAGTCATGCCCCGTGTGAGGCTCGAACTCACGACCTTCAGATTATGAGACTGACGCGCTGCCTACTGCGCCAACGAGGCCTGAATGCACCATCGATTATCGTAATTTACAAACTAGCCGGAAATGTGTTTCGCAATAGGAACGTATTATAATTCGGTTAGTCTTACCTAATTCTCTGTTCGATGTGAAATTAATGAATGGTATTCGACTTTTACGGCGATGAAAAGTCTATAGTTTTCCTGGCGGGTCTACTTCTCCCCGTTCTAGCAGGATTAAGAAAAAAGAGATCTTATTGCTATTTTTGACCTCCATTACATCTTTTTTGTTTGACATTCGCTTGCCTGTTGTGAAATTGAATAACTAACTAACTTTGAATTATAAAAAAGAGAGAAATTCACTCACTCCAACTGGATACTCAACAGTGTTTTCTTCCTTTTTAGAGTAGTTAACCGTCGTAGTTGGTGGTTGCTGTTTGTAGCTCTCGGCTATACACAAAACCTCGAGCTAGTCGTGTAGTTCTGTACGTAATTGAATTTTTATTATGCCTTCTATCTCAGCAGTTAACCGCTGTATTATTATTAACTTTTTACCTTTATTATAACATATCTTCTGTAATTGTTCTTCGATTGTTCCGGTGTTTCCCACTGTCTTTGAACGCCTAACCATTTTTTTCTGCTGCGGCCCCTTTAAATACAATCTCCCGCGTTCCAAGTTAAGCGGAAATAGAAGCCGTCTTTTCTCTATTTAAGCGCGCCAACAAAGACTGTCACAGGAGGGCTGTCTGTGCTTCATTCACCGCACACCACCATTGTCTTATCTCCTTTCACCGTCGTCGTTATTTACATCCCGTAAAGAATGCCAGAGGAAACGTCCGCCGCGTCGAGCTCTGCGAGGTAAGATTCGTTTGTTGTGTCGGCTCACCGTGCTCTGTGGAAACACGCCTAGCTAGCATGTGGCTAACGCAAGATAAGGTAACTCATAAAGAGAAACGACATTTTGTGAGTGGGGGGACACTGTGAAAAGTACATATTGATTTGGCAGACTTTTGACCAAATTCAGAGTTGAAGCTTTTAATGTCTTTGTTAGAGACAGACACATCACTAACACGAAGGCTAGCCAAGCTAATAACCCGTAAATGCTAACAGCGGTGAAGCGACGCCAAAATCTAAGAGCGTGTCAGTCCGGGTTTGTAGGGAAGTGTGCTGTGTTAAATGAGGTCAGGTCTCAATGTGAAGGCATTGACTGAACTTTGGTTCAACTCTCTGCAGCTTGGAGGAGAAGCCGTGCTCTTCATCGTCTTCATCTTCATCATCAGCTGCTGCAGCAGACAGGTGAGTGTCTGAAAACCGCAGCATCTGCTCGCATTGTTTCTCAGCTCTGACCCACTAAAAGCTTGTGTGGTTTTTTTTTCTGATTTTTTTTCTGTTCCCTCTCTGCAGCTCCGTCGACGTCATGGAGGAGGCGAAGAAGCTGATTGGCACAGGAAACAGGCATCTGGTCATGGGAGATGTTGTTTCTGCTGTCGGTGTGTTTCAGGACGCCTGCAGTATGCTGTGAGTATCTACAGGGAGAGAGCTATGACACAGAAAAGAGACATATTTATTAATATATCCTACTGAGAGGAGGGTTTTTATGATGCATACTGAAATAACTTCACAAGAGTTAAAGGGATATTCCAGCGTAAAATTAATTTGGGGTCAAACACACTGTAACACCAAGTTAGACACCCCCTCAAGAGATAATCGTTGCTGACTGCTTGCTTCTCTAGTTATACCAACTCTGACAACTGCAGGATAGCAATACAGAGAGCCACATGCTCAAACCAAAAGCCACTCTATAGCCACAAATAATACTCAGAACAGCACCTAACTTCATCAACAGTACATATAGGGTCCTAGCCATAGTACTAGCCACCAAACATCTTTTTAACTTTGCCTCATTTCTTTAGCAAAGAGACTAAACACAACTCACCTACTCTCTTCCAGCAGCAGCTTGTTTGTAGTGAGACCTCAGGCCAGTCTGTTACGGACTACAGCGGGGTGATGCAGCTCGAGGAAGAACATTTATGATTATTTCTACATCATTTCCATGAATTAATAATCACCATATTAATCATTTTGCACTGCAGACGCGGTAGTTCTTCTGCCTTAACGTCTCGGTCTGATTGTATTTCCGTAAAGTAATAATCATAAATGTTCTTCCTTGAACCCCGCTGCAGTCCGTAACGGACTGTCCTGAGGTGTCACTACCAACCTGTGGCTGCTGGAAGAGAGTAGGTGAGTAGAGAGTAGGTAAATTTGTATCCTGTGCTGCGCAGACATGAGTCAAATGTTGAAATAACTTTCTCTCTTGATCAGTTTAACACTTGTGATGTCTGTCTTTCAGGGCTGGGAAGTACGGTGACACTGCAGATGAGTGTGGTGAGGCGTTCTTCCTCTGTGGGAAGTCCCTCCTGGAGCTTGCCAGGTCGGTAAACATCCTGTAGACTTGTTTTTAACTTTGTAATTAGTGGTGTCATTTACCCTAATACAAACTTTACCTCTACGGTACATGCTCAGACTTTGGTAGTAAGTTCTTGTACGTACTTTCCAAAGGTAAATCTGGTTTAGTAAAGTTGATTCAGACTGAAAATTCAGGCTTGATCTTGCTTTCCTTCTGATCATGTTGTAGTCATACTTAAGTTTGCTCTTAATGCCCTGGCAGTAAACCTTTTTTTTTTTTTTCTGGTGTGTTTCATTAAGGATGGAGAATAGTGTCCTTGGTAACGCCCTAGAGGGAGTCCCAGAGGAGTCTGAGGAAGAGGAGCAGCCCAAAGACTCGAACATTGAGAGTGCCAACAACCTGGATGGTGAGTGTCGAACACAAATCTTTTACAAGTTGCTGCCTCACAAAATTTGAGCAAGAACTTTGTCCCTAAAAGAAAAAAAAATCATGGGTCATTTTTAAAAGTGTCAAAAGAAACTAAAACTGGTGAGAGGTCAATACAAGACTTTAAACTAAACTTTGAGGTCCAAAGCCAAACAAGAATTTTATTTCATTGCTTATATTTGTTCATTTGAACAAACAGCAGTGGAGCAAAATTCAGTTTGCAGCCGTCCAGTAGATTTTTGCGCTGAGCTCTGTCTGTATTTGAACAGAGCAAAGGTTCAAACATTTCCTAAACTACACTGTGAGAGTCCTTTTCTTTAAAATGCCACTCTGGTGTAGAAAAAACTAGAGATGAGCTCCGGAAGCAAGTGTATGATGCCATGGCAGAGGAGGAAAAGACTGAAGCTGCTGAAACCAAAGTGGAGTCTGAAGACGGAAAGGGCAGCGCTGAAGTGAAGAAGGAAAACGGGGAGGCCAAGTCCCCCATTAAAAATGGAGTAAATGGCTCAGAGGGACCGTCAATTTCCCTCGAGGAGAGGTCAGCCCCGGAAACGAAGGTGAATGGAGTTGAGAAAAGCCCGGCCGCCCATGTGAACGGTACAGAGGAGCTAAATGGAAAAGACGAGGACGCCAAGAAGAATGGAGATCACAACGAGGAGGAAGCAGAGGGCAGTAGATGATTCGATTCAGAGCACTTTTATTGGAGAGGGGAGCACCAATGGATTTGTCTTTCTTTAGAACAGGCCACATTTATAGGTGTCACTAAAGGTGGAGGGGAAGTCACTGGAGCAGGTGTAAACAGAGCCTTAAGGTGTTCATTTTACACATATTACCTCACTAACTAAAAACAGTACTGTCTAACAATCTACTGATGCTTCAACAGATGATGACGACGACGATGATGATGAGGACGATGATGAGGATGGAGAGCCTAACGGACAGGAAAAGGTGAGTTCTGACCAATGGGACTCTCTTTGACTGGACTGTAAACATCATTTTCTGACATGTTTTGGTTTCTGTCTTTCAGGAGGAGGATGAAGTCGGTAATCTGCAGCTCGCCTGGGAAATGCTGGAGGTGGCTAAAGTCATCTACAAGAGGTGAGGACTCTAAAACTAACAAGGAAATCCACTCCAGCCCGCTGACAGTTGAAGAACCAGACGAGAGCGGATCATTCAGGGAGCAAAACCAGTCTGGATGACATTGGTTTCCTCTTTTTGTCCCAACAGAAAAGAAAGCAAAGAGGACCAGCTGATGGCAGCACAGACGTATCTGAAACTTGGAGAAGTCAGTGCTGAGTCAGGTAGGTTTCATGCAACAGATTGTTGAATATGTGTGATTTTTAAATCACTCTTGTAAATTTGTGGTTTTCAACTCTTGAGCTCGACACCTTTTTGTGCAGTTAAAAAAAAAAAAGAATTTCTGAAATTCAGTGGAGTTTCAGTTGTGAACTTGTTCCACAATTAATCTCCCCACTGACTATAAAATCTCTGGTTCATAAATGGTCATAATAAATTCCTTGTCTAACCTAGACCTCAGAGTTTACTGTGACTATGCAACACATCCTTGTACTTTGGGGGTGGGTAGCATGCTGGTCACAGTACTTTCACCATGTGCCATGTTGTAGACTTTTAACATCGCAGGTAAACACGGGTTTAAACGGGCAAATTGTTTTTAGGTTTTTAGTGCACACACAGCCAAGATTAATTTCTCTTGGCACTGATGCAGCCATAAGAAATGGGTGCTCTAGAGAGATTTTTAGTTATTTTGAAGAGCAGCAACAGTGTAAATCAGAGTGACATTTACCAAATTGTGTCAAAGCAGGTGTTTGTGGTTGTAAAAAAAAATGTGATTGTGGCACAGTGATCAGATACACATGTGCTCTCATCTTTTTAAAGTTCAATGTTGGCAAGTCTGCAGGGACCATAAGCAAGTATGAAAGTAATTTGATCATTTCCCGGTCTTTAAGTTTGGTAAATGAATAAGAGTGTGTAAAAATATGTTTCCAGACTATTACCACAGTAACAAAAGACTGTTTTATAAAATAGAAAAGTAGGTATTTCAAAAAATAATTCTAAAAAGTAGGGTATGGAAATTCCAACTGTGTAGAAACCCTCAGTCTGGGATTTACATCTGTCATGTTTACCTGCTTGGAAGTGGATTTTAACTTGTGACTCGGATAGTGACTGTGCAGCAACTGTAACTCTGACATCTTTCCTAATTGTGGTTCAGCTAATTTGATGATGAGCACAGAGAAGCTGCAGAGAAATAAATATTCAGATTCAGTCTTGGTGTGAACTGCACACATGTTGTGGCTTATATCATCCTACTCTGCTCTCAGGCACAGACGAGCATCAGTTTTTGTGTAACCATTACTAGACAGAACAAAAATACATTTATTAGTTCAAACTGCAAACTCTCACTTTGAATTTAAGAAACCAGAACCAACAAATGACATTTTTACATGAGAAATGACTTTGGAGTCGTTTGTGATTCTTAAATAATTGAAGCTCTTCATTGCCTATTATTCACCACTTAAGTATCAATGTGCCGTTACTGTCTCTTTTTAAAAGAAAGGCTAATTAATCTGACATTTCCTCTGTCCCCTCCGTTAGGTAACTACCCCCAAGCACTCGAAGACTTCCAGGAGTGTCTCACCCTGCAGCTGAAGCACTTACCCCCCCACAGTCGTCTGCTGGCTGAGACCCACTACCACGTCGCCACCACGCTGTGCTACATGGATCAGTACAGCCAGGCCATCCAGCACTACAACAGCTCCATCAAAGTCATCGAGACACGTCTGGGTAAGAGTGCGCTCAGTGATATTTTAATTTCGTCTAAGCGAAACACTGCAGAAGTTTTGTAGAGTTTATCGTCTTTACCATGAGCTTCATGTCGTGTCCCTGTCCGTGCTTAGCTATGTTGCAGGAGGTGATAGCTGCAGCTGAGGGAGCAGACGCGGCAGCAGAGGAAAAGAGAGAGATGGAGGAGCTGAAGCAGCTTCTGCCCGACATCAGGGAAAAGGTCGAGGACGCCAAGGAGAGCCAGAGAACAGGCAGTGCTGCGTCTCAGGCCATCCAGCAGACACTAGTGGGTACACGGGGACCACAGGGAACAGTCTACAGCTGTGTTGGAGCATTTGTTTCTTTCTTAGCTTAGTGAGGTCTGAAAAGGTAGCTTTAGATTTTGGATAACTGACTGACTTGTTGCAGGGCGGAGCTTCGACCTCATCAGCATTCATGTGTGAAAACGGGGGCGCTTCATCATCATCATCCTCAGCGTTTCCAGCACCCAGTCAGGTATGGACACTGTCAGACTGCAGACCTCAAACTAGAGATGCACCGATCCATTTTTTCCTGATCCAATCTGATACGATACCTGGTTTGAGCATATCGGCCGATATCAGATACCAATCGAATACTACTGTTGAATGAATGAACTGTATACCTTGCCCTGTAAGTGAAGGCATCAGGCTTGACATTAGCCTTGTTAAAAAAAGGTAACAAATAAACGGATATATATACTCAATATTATTTATTAACAAATTGCACATTAGCACACCATAAAAAGAAGAAAAATTAAAGGAAAAATAAAGTCTGGATCGGCATCATTCATTCGCTATCCAATCCAGTTAATTTGTCAATATCTTATCCAAATATTGGATCGGTGCATCCCTACCTCAAACTGACTTAAAGGTTTTCCTTCAGACAATTTCTGTGCAAATAAGGTGAAAACTTATTTTTCAGATCCCTGTCAAATCTGAGAGCGCCTCGTCTTCCAAAGCAGCGTCAGACATCTCCCACCTGGTCAGGAAAAAGGTGAGATTAAATAATCCTGTTTTTTTTAAAGTGTGGCGATTTATGCTGCTTTTTTTCCTCCTCCTTCGCAGTTTTGACTTCATGATGTAGATGCGATCATCTCTGTGAAAGTGGCTGTGATCTGCTTTTATTTTGAAGGGCTTGTGTGTTTGCCTGCTTTGGTTGTCGGGATGATGTGCTGTCCTTGTAGCTTTAGTTGCCTTGCTGTAGTTGTGGTGTTGGTGTTTGTGTCGTGGTGCAGCCTGATGCTCTCGATTTTATAGCTGATTTTGTGCATGAATTAAGTGTGCGGCTTTAATCTAACGAGTAGTGTCGGATACGGTTTCAGTTCCCTTTTTTTCATTTTTTCTAAATGTCAACCTTTTCTTTTAAAGGTTGTTTCCATGCAGGACTGTATTGAATGCAGTCTCCTCTTTCTCCCTCCCTTTGTCCTGGTTTTATGTTTCCACAGAGGAAAACAGAGGAGGAGAGCCCAGTAAAGGACACTGACGCTAAACAAGCAAAACAGGAAGCCACAGTTAATGGCAGCGGTGACTCTAGTGCCAGCAACGGCAATGGAGTCCAGGAAGGAAAATCACAGGAGGCGAGTGATAGGTTTATGTGTTACGTACTGTTTGGAGGACGGCGCTCTTCAGATTGTGGAGAATGTAGACGGAGCGAGAGGATGGCGGATTGTCATTTGGGCTATTTGTTAGCCAATATGTTGATAAAATTTTATGCATGAACTATGTCATGCACGGTGTCTGGATCCTTTATTTTGGTGAGCAGCAAAGACAAGAGTTCAGCTTTAAGATGAGAGTTCAACTGGCTGCACAGGAGCAAATCTGTTCATTTGTCAAGTACTTCTGGCTTGAAAGTAATCTGCATGACGTTCCTACTGTTTTTAAATGATGACAAAAATGTTAATGTAAATGCCTTGCTGTTAATTTAATATGATCTCTTTTCTTTTCGTCCCTTGTAGCCCACCAACCAGTCATCCTCCGTCAAGTCTTCAGCGTGACTTTCTTAAACTCTTTTCTGATCATGGAAACCAGCACAGCATGCCTGTCCAGCCCCTCGCCACCTTTACGACACTTTTGTTTCTGTAAATAAGATCCATTTTCATAGATTTGTCTGTCCAGTTTTGTATACTTGTAGTAAAAATGAATAAAAAATTTGCAGATGTAAGTTTGTTTCCAGATATTTTTTTTCCTCTCTCTGTGGGTGAAGTTGACCTGTGCGCATTTCTGACTTGAAGCTGACTGCAGCATTTACTCCTCAGAATTTATTCTAAAGTCATAATCTCAAACTTAAATCTTGAACATAAACCTAACTCTTACAGCTGAATGTGTAAAAAAATATGGTGTACTAGGACTGTTTTTCTCACGTACAGATATATTGAAGTTTCATCTTTAATAACTTATAACAGAAACTTAACTTTAGTAACCGAACAGAATTTGGAAACCGTACGCCAGTTGAATCAGCTGTTGTCTACACGTTTCTCCTTGGCATTTTTCGTCCCAACAATGACTGACGAGTCAAATTCATCCTCTGGATTTTGGAGCTTTGTTTCCAAAGTTTGGCAGATGGTGAGGACTTCTATATCGAAGTCAAGGTAAATTCAGCTGTTTTACTCTCCTGTTTGTGTGCTAAAGAGAACATTTCTGTTATTTCTGAGTAAAAACTGTTGCATGGAGGTGTGCAGACGGGTCTTTATACCTGGGATGTTGCATTGAGGGGGCCTAATGTGTAGACTGCGTAGCCTACTGTCTCCCTCTAGTGATCACTACGAAGTTGTGCGGTGAGAAAATATGATTATAACATTAATTACTGTACAGTAAAAATTGGGTTATAAAGCTCATTCCTTCATCTGGGAAGCTACTTTAAACTTTTTTGATTTGAGCACTATCTAGCAACAGCCAATCAATGTTTAACTGAACTACATGGTTGAATTCATTTATCTGCAAGGTGTACACATGAACATATCACCTGGACAGGTAAGTTTGTGTATTTTTTTTTTCCTTTTATTTTTATGTTATTGCCTTTGCACATGTGCTTATTAGTAACCATTAGCAGCATGAGCAAGCTTGACGGTGTCTTTTCTCTTTCCAACATGAAATAGGGTGACCATATGTCCTCTTTTGGGGGGCTGTCCAGGGGGAGTTAACAAAATCTTTCAAATATCGGATTTTTTTTCACGGAAGCCCGTTTCCATCAGTGGAAAATAAAAGATGAAATAAAATGTTTTCTTTTTTTCATCTTTTACTTTTGAGTTTGTGTAGCGTGTACTTAATTTTCGCATCAAAGAACATTGTATTTACACGTTCAGTGGTTCATTTGGAAACACACTGAGAGGCTGAGTTCCACGCCAAACCCCGAAACGTGTATTCACTCATTGTAAAACTGTGCAGCGCATCAGTACTTTATGCTGCTCTGCTCAGTTTTAAACTGAGTTAGAAGAGCGTAAAAAAACACTTGCCCCCACCCGAAAAATTCCTTAAAATTTTGCACGTTCGCAACTCCGCCCCATGTAGTAGTGTCCTCTTTTTGGGGATTAAGAATATGGTCACCCTAACATGAAACACATTGAACATCCCCCGAAGTGCTGTTGTTGTCGCGGAGTTCCCAACCGTTAGCTTGCAGTCCTGACCGTTAGCTAGCTCATAGTAAGTCAACTATCATAGTAGCTTGACTAGCTAGCATTACCGTTAGCCTGTGGGAGGATGTACGGCCTTTACTTTGTCCTTTAACAGGTTAATAAAATTAAGCAAATTTAAGTCAACATTATTTCTTACTGTGTTTAAGTTAGCTTTTGTGGTTGTTGTTATCTTGACTAGCTAGCATTACCGTTAGCCTGCTGGGAGGACTTAAGGCCTTCACTTTGTCCTTTTAACAGGTTTAGAAAATAAGCATATTTAAGTCAACGTTATTGCTCACTGTGAAAGTAAGATAAATAAATACAACTTTTGTGGTTGTTGTTATCTTGACTAGCTAGCATTACCGTTAGCCTGCTGGGAGGACTTAAGGCCTTTACTTTGTCCTTTTAACAGGTTTAGAAAATAAGCATATTTAAGTCAACGTTATTGCTCACTGTGAAAGTAAGATAAATAAATACAACTTTTGTGGTTGTTTTTATCTTGACTAGCTAGCATTACCGTTAGCCTGCTGGGATGACTTAAGGCCTTCACTTTGTACTTTTAACAGGTTTAGAAAAAAAGCATATTTAAGTCAACATTATTGTTTACTGTGTTCAAGTTAGCTTTCGTGGTTGTTTTTATCTATAATATCTTAAATGTAGAAGGTAAGGATGAATTTTAAGCTTACCACACAGCTAAACTGCTGGGAATATGGACTGATTAAGAATTATTTATTTCTCTCTCTAAGCAGCTCTTACAGAGAGTAAAAAAAAGAGACCTTTTTAAGTTTTCCATTTATTCCAAAAGACACTTAAAAATTCATAGCGCTGCTGCTGCTGCTGCTTCCTTGCCAGCTAAGTCCTGGGAACCTCCTCTGATTCCCGGTTCCCTTTCTGGACAACCAGAAGCAGCCAGCAAATGCGGCTTTACATCTGGACACCAAAACAGCAATGATATGGCTCAGGGCCTAATCACTGTTTTATTGGTGTGGAGTGTGTGGCAAGAATATGAATCATGAACGTATCATCAAGAAATAAATTTTGAACCAGAGTGTAAAAGCCATGGAAAATTGAAGGAAGATTGTTTTTTCAAGTGGAAAACAAGTTGAGTAAACTTTATAAAAGCTCCACTGAGCACAGCTGGGCCAACAGATTATACAGCGACAGGCACGACATATTTCCCAGCTCGTCCTTTTCTTGCTGGCTGCAGCTGGTTGGGTCTTCTTCAGGCCAATTATTTGTGCCACAAAGGCTGGATCCGACCCATCTGACTAAACGTACCTAGACCTGATTTAGCCTTATAGTATTTGGCAGCTTGGTGGAACTAATTCACATGTAAAACAACCATATAGTCTTAGTTGCAGCTAAAAAAAATGGACTGAACTCCTGAGGTATGTGGGCACATTTTTTATCTAGATGGAGAAAAGGTCTTCATTATAAAAGATGAGCTCACTGCAGTCCGGATGATTCCTCATACTGTTGTGTGAATCTTGCTGACTGGCAGGTACAGAGGCATCCCTCAAACTAATGACAAAGCAAAAACATAGTAAATCATCCAAATTAGATCAAATTATGCATCTTCAGACAAATTCCCTATCCATGATCCAGTCTTGAGTAGAAAATTAGATTTATTCCACCACAAATGTTGCAATGAGGAGCCACCCAGGCATGATGAAATGCATAATTGACGCTCTGAGTCATCCAGCAGCTGGGAAATAAAACATATTCCACTAATTATTCATCTCAGAGGCAGAGCAGCACAGAAGCAGTGAAACAATCCAGCCTCACATACACAGTTCAAGTAAGTCCTGGTTCGGCACATGCCTACCCTAGCAGCACAAATAGGAGAGCAGACTAAAGTATTTCAGGTTGATCTCATGTTGTTTATCCTCTCTATAGTTCTGTCCTGTTACTACAAGATGCTTGTGCTACAGGAAATGGATTATCTCTTGCATGTATTCAGTAAAATCTGATCCAAACTGAGCTATCAAAACATACATTTAAAAGAAATCGTAGTTTGTAATTTGATCAAGTTTAAGATTTAGTTATTTATAATCTCATCAAATTTCAGTGGACAAATATGTTTGCTTTGTGCATTTGTTTAATTTTAATAATGATAGACTTGATGTTATTTTCGTTTTCGCTTTGATAGCCCTGGTTGAAAAATGCCTGCTCAAGTGCAAATGACTGCAGTTCCTCTGGTGTCCACTTGAGACTGGCTTCAGAAGCCAAGGAAATCCGCCAAAATTAATGTCAAAATTACATTTTTGCAGCAGGATTAGAGTACATGTTCATAGACAGGTTACTATCCATTATTTTCTTTCTGAGCAGGTTGTTAATTCTTTGTTTGATGTTGTGTCTGAATTTCAGATATTGATACTGACTTTAATCCATAGAGATGTTTGATTAGCTGTTATAACGTCTCCTTGTGCCTCTCCTCGTACTTTTCGCGAAACAGTCTTAGCGCTAAACGCCACTGAGCAGACCAGTTTATTTTAAAGTAAACACAATAAAACGAAGCCACTCCGAGAACAGCACCCTCTGGTGACAGGCTGCAGTATAGGTCATAAATCCTGCCTCCGCCAGCAAAGCTTATGGAGTTGTGGACAAACTTTAGAAATTAATGACACAGAATATAAATTTTTATTCCCCCTGGTTGCGATGTTGACATGTAGTTACGTAGTTAGTATGAGTTTTTCGACTTCAAATCCATTTACTGGCGGTAGTTGTCCATAGTATCTACAGTCTATGGTCCGAGGCTGTTTCGAAGCCTTTCAAATTAAAAGCGATGACACTGGGAAGTACGTATTTTTGTTTCGTGTGAATATAACTTTGTTTTTCTTGGGGCTTTGTTTTATACGTATAATGTTAATATGATTTTTTGTGTATTTATGTGTTCAACATAGACAAAATACAAAACGGGATGACCGCTTCAAACAAACTGGAGCACGTGAAAAAAACATTACCTCGGGTCCTCTCAGTGGAGGTCTGCAGCCAGACCCCTCTCGTTTTTTGAGCTCCTTTGACACTCTCTCCATGTGATAGATGCCTCTACTAAAAGAAGACACTAAACTAGTAGACAAAATATAAAAGCAAAACCCTGTGTAAATAACACATACGACTAACAAGGTCTGTAGCACTTTATTTTTGTATTTCTGCATCTCCTGCTGCTGGTTTTAAGTCTGTATCAGGGCCAGTCGCTGTTTGTTAAGCTTCACTATTCCCCAAATCTCCTTCAATTTGTCACAGCGACCAAGCTGACGTCCACTCGCCTAAAGACAACATTTATAAGTCAGCATTTCTATGACAAACATTACCTTTTAAAAACATTTATGTACCCAGGAGCAAAATAATAATCACATAAACATTTACCCTTGAATCATTAATCATCTTTTTTGCTCAGAGTGACTCACTTAGACAAAACCAGCTGATGACTCCTTGCATTATTTAACACATTTTAGAGGAAATGTGCGCACTTTTGGCACCGGGACATGTCTCCTCGAGTACCATTTAGGAGCAAATATGAAAAGCAAAAGACTTAAAGAAACAGGAGGAACTTACAGCTGGCCTCAGTGTTTGTGGTGCTTTTGATCAGTTCGTCAGATCTTGTAAATGAATGCGAAACTGAGAGTTAATATCCCACATTCAATGCAGTCAACACTTAAATCTTGTCCTTGTAAGCCAAAGATTAAAATGCATGCATGGATGTATTTTTGTCTCTGCATAACACCACACTTAGTCCTCTTTTGAAAATACTCTTCAAATGCATCTTGACTGACATAATGATATTCAAACATGAATTTTTAATCAAAGACCGTGAGATGCCGGCAGTGCTTCTCAGAATGACAATTAAAATGCACATAAAATCATCCCTGTTGGCTTCTTATGAATAATCCTCAGAATCTTAGGTAAACAATTATTACAGTACTAAAGAGCAGCATTGATGAAGTCTGGCTGGATCAGTTTCACCTTGTCTTTGAGTCCCTGCAGAGAACGGCTGTCTGTCAAGCTGGTTTGCTGTTTTGTCCTCTGCTCTCGCTGACTTTGGTTTTGCATCAACACTCCTCCTCCCAGTGATGTTCCTGCTTTGACCTCTCAGCTGCACGTACAAAATCACACAGCTTTATCCAGTGCTGCAGTTTCTTAGCGGTAGAATTTAACTGAGCACGAGGGATAGTCCATCTTCCTCGCTTTCTTTGCAGAACTTTGCTGTCTGTTTCTGAAAAGCCAAGAGTCCCACAAATGAGTTAGAGGTGGCGCTTGGCGAGATCAGACAATCAATCAATCAGACTTTATTTATAAAGGGCTTTTTTTATGAAGTGATGCAAGACAAATCATGACAAATGGTTGACATCATATACGCAGAACAAACAGACAATGGAGACAAAACAATAAAGTGACAAGTAAAGCAAGAACACGTAACATTTAGATATTTTAGGTTTGAAGGTGTTGCAAGGCTGTGTTTAAATAAGTGTGGGTGGGTGGGTGTTTTTATGTGTGTTGAGGAGTGTGTTTGTGGATGTGATTGTTCCCTCTTTTAAATTATAATAACTGTTAAAAAAGACAATGAAAGAAAAAAACGAAAGTGATATGACATAACAATAAGTACAATAAAATAATAATAATAATAATAATAATAATAATAGAACAAAGAAAAAGAAGAAAAAAATAAAATAAAAATTATTCAATAAATAGATGAATAAATAATAATAATAATAATAATAATAATAATAATAATAATAATATTAAAGAAAAAGAAGAAAAAATTAAATAAAAAATGAATTAATCAATAGATAAATAAATGATAGAATAATAAATAAATTCTTATTGATATTGAATAAATTCATATTGAATAAAATAAATAAATTTGGTGGGATATAATACTGATAATTATAGAATAAATAATGCCATATATTAGATACTATATATTCCTAATGTGTTACTTCCTTAAAATTATGTAACACAAAATATTGTACAAAAAAATAGATACAAAGGGACCCTAAAGAGACCATTCGGAGTATTATAAACCAGTAACAGAATCTTGAATTCTAAACGATACTGGAAACCAGTGCAGAGACTTAAAAATTGTTGTAATGTGGGCTCTCTTTCAGGTCTTTGTCAGTATTCTTGCAGCTGACCTTTGCAACAGCTGAATCTGGAGATGTTCTTTTTAGGGAGATCAGAAAGAAGAGCGTTATAATCGTCAAATCTGTCTGTGATAAAAGCATGAACTAGTGTCTCTGCAGCGGCTCGAGAGAGAAACTGTTGCACTCCAGCCGTGTTTTCCAAGTGATAAAATGCCTCTTTGTGTTGTTCTTGATATGATCAAGGTCTGAAACAAATATAACTCCAAGATTTTTGACCAGCTGACAAAAAGTGTTTTGAGCTTTGCCTTCAGTCTCTCTCTCTCTCTGGGCACCAGCACCAATAAATAAAACCTGATTTTGGTCCTATTGAATCAAAGTACAACATCAAGTTTTTTTCCAGTGGTATAAATCAAACTGATTTTCACAAAGACTTGAAACTAGGCAGTGAGTTAACTGCTACACCAACATGGCCGATCTGTCCTTAGTACTATACTTTAGAAAATCACTTTTGTACATCAAAAATGTGCCAAAAGAGCTGCACGTTTTTCCAAACAGCAGCTTTGAGGGAGGAAGTGTCAAGGCTGAGAGCTTCTGTCTGGAGTGAACAGTAAAAAAAAAGCTTCCAGCGCCTTAACTTTCTACTCCAACCACACTCAAGCTAATGCCGACCTTCTGTTTTCCTCTAAGTGGTTGAATATTCATAAGATGCTTTTTTCTTAATTCTCAGACTGCCTGATGTTTCCTCACTCTTGAGTGAGCACTCTTCTGGGACCATAAATGGAACTGTGCGGCGAAAGTCTGGCTTCTACGTGTGAGCAGACAAGGCCCAGACCTCGGTGAGTACTTTCACTCCGACAACTTAGTGGAAAATACAGAGAATAATCTAACCATGAAGAGAAAAACATAAAACAGAATATTGTTGTCTGATTGTGTTTAAAGGTTTACATAACATCCCGTCTTAAAATATCATCCCCTCATGACACAGTGTCATGTGTTTAAAGAAGCAAGTCAATGAAAGAGAGTCTGAACATGCAGGTTTTTGGTGTG